ATGGTTGTAACTTAAACAAAGGTAAACAGTACCTAACATATGTACTTCTAGTGCTTCTTATGGGGCTAGAAACCATACTTAATCCTCACAACTCTATTGAGGCAGTTGCTAATATAAATCCTTATTTTACAGGTGAGAGAATTGAGGCATGGAGAGATGAAGAAACTTGCCCAAGGTCACAGGGCTGGCAAAATGGCACAACCAAGATTAGATTCCAGAGTCTGCCCGTTACCTCTACCTTCTGACTACCTCCTTACCTTTCCCTACTAATAGGGGGCTGGTCAGCCAAGAGCACATGAAAGGGGGCACCTGAGGGACAGTGGCACCTTATCCTGTCCCAAGAAAGGCAGCCCTGGCCCAGAAACATGGGCAGCAGGTCAGTGGGATAGGGGCATCCCTCAGTGGGGGAGGACCCTCAGGGAGCTGTCACAGTGCTTCAGTGTGGCTGCAGTAGAGCAAGGGAGGGGCCCTGTGCGAGTCGCTGAAGATGACCACTGTTCATTCCGTTCCTTCCTGTGCATGCATGGCCCTCTACCCACTAGGAGGAAGAGTTTATTTTCCTCTGCTTGAATCTGGCAGGCCTTGTGCCTTGCCTCGGTCAAGGAAATGTGGAGGTGACCCGTGCGCATTCCACACCTACTTCTCAAAGGCCTGGCGGCTTTGCTGCCTTCGGAAGCTAGCTCAGGTACAACATCCAAACACCCTGAGACCTCTATGCTATAAGAAAGACGAAGCAGCCACATGGAGAGACTCTCTGAGAGGAGGAGGTGCCCACCCGGCTCCCAGCTCATCCAGCCATCCCAGCTAGGGTGTCAGACCCGCGAGTGAAGAAACCACCTTGGACATCGCAGCCCCACCAGCACGACATGGAGCAGGAGACCCGCCCAGCGGAGGCTAGCCCAGACTGTAGAATCATGAAAAATAAATTGTTGTCTGGGGCCAGTTTGCTACACAGAACTAGAAAAAGGGTCTGTGTGTCCCTGAAAGAGGAGGAGGAGGAGGAGGGGGAGATAGAGAATGTGAGCCCCTGGGCACCTGGGCAGAAATGAGCAGAAGCTTGAAGAATGGTTCCTCCCAGGACTCTGTGTGGATCACAGCACACCCAGCCCTGATTTGGGGCTGATATGAAATCAGGGAGCAAAAGCTCTCTCATTTGTGCTTAGACTGCAGCCTGGGTCTGGCCAGGGAGAACTCAGCAGAAACACACACTCATCTGGCACTTCTGGGGTTCAAGGCTTGCGGAGAGGGCTGGGATCTGGGCAGGGGCAGTGGCTTTATGGTCAGAGACACCAAGGAGCTGCAGATGGAAGAACTCCAGTTTGACAGGACTGTTTGTTGTGAGCTCATGTGAGGCATTCCTGGGGACTCCCTAAAATGACCAGGGGAGACCCAGGTGGTGGACCCCTATTGTGAGCATTGCTGATGGAAACTGAGTTGTTATTGTCACTGGACCTCAGGTGTGCTCACCTGGCTAGCATGGCCCCAGGAAATACAGGTAACAGCAGGAAGACTTGAACATGATAGCCAAGAAAACTAATTTCAGAGTGTATGTGAAACACCCTGGGGGTTCCCAGAACTAGGTGTGAAGAATCTGAAGGGGGTTACTGTTCCCACAACGGTGGGCAGAGAAGAAACCGAGAACTACTGTGTATCACTATGATTCTGACCATATTCTGACCTGCCCAGGCCAGAGTCTTCTGAGGTCAGAAATTTGTCAAGGACACAAGGATTCTGCTGAGATGCCCAAGCTCTGGTTTCTCTCAGCACAGGACCCAATTTTCCAACTTCTTCTAGAGACAGAAGTCCTGCCTCTGAACCCGGACTCTAGGAAGGAGGTGCTTTCTAGCTGCAAGAGCCTCCAGAGGCTAAGACTTGGCCCAAGAATGAGACAGGAACTCAGTCAAAGGGGACTGAGTGCCTTTAGTGGGCCAAGAGAACCCTACTATGTGTGGGGGAAACCAAGACCCTGTGGACACATACCAGGTCCTGGGCCAGGAAGCCAAAAGGGGCCATGCTGTGGCCTGCACAACTAGCAAAATGTCCCAAGATGTCAAATTAGTTAAGGATCGAGCTATGGCTCAGGGCTCAGTGTGAAAACACCTGTGACTGATTAGTGTTGTCAAGCCAGGGGCTGAGGACAGTGACAGCTCCCTGTCTGTGTGACTCAGCTGAGGGACTATCGCCTCCTTCCTCCTCAGTTCTAAAGCAGAGCGTGGGGAAAAAGCAAGAAGCTGAGTAATCAGGAGCCTCTCATCCACGAGGACAAAACCCTCAGCCATCCACAGGATCCCCTAGCAAGTGTTTCCCAGTTCTCCATGTAAAAGCCTCGAGAAGCTCAGCTGGGAAGCCTCTTCCCTGTTCCCTAAGCTGTCCCCTGTAAGCTCAAAGAAGTTCTCTTTAGGGTCTGTGTGTGCTATTCCAAAACACAGAGCTCAGCCTCTCTCCCCAAAGCACAGGCCTTCCTGGGCTGATCCGCACCTTCCAGCCATGACCTGCACCCTCCACTGTGCGGGCATGTCCACCCCATGTGCACCCTCACTCCAGCCTCATCTGCATTTAACATCTCTTGTTGGGCTGTGGCAGAGAATACTCAACAGCCTCATATTAAAAATGCCCTTTAAAATTCAAAAGCTTTGAACTAAAGAAATACCTTGAGAAGTTTTCATGGAAAGTTCAGCTCCGCTGGTTCAATTCACTGCACTTAGATGCACCTTTTCAAATAATAGGGAAAAAATGTAACAGGGTCAGACCCAATCAATATGCTTGTTCAAACAGAATTGCAGGGACTGTGATGTGCACACATTTTGTACTCTGCCTTTGTACACTGCCACTCACTCTGAAGAAAGGTTCCTTTGCTCGGAGAGCAATGAAAGTGGTAGCCTTTGGAGTGGAGGCGGCAAAGCAATGGCGTGTTTACCAGGCCGGGAGGGGCTGCCAGTTTCCAACACCCCCACCCCTAGCTTCCTTTCTTTGTTCTTTTCATAATAGCACCAAACCCCACGTGGGCAAAGTCCCTCACCCACCTCTGGCATCCGTACGCAGAATCAGAAGCAGGGGCTCTCAGCATTTGCCTGCCACATTTCAGAAATGTGATTTGTGGATTAGACAAATAATTTGCTGTTTCTTTCCCACCCTTGGTGTGGAACAAAAAAGGACTTGCTAGGGAGCACTGTACTGCAGCGAGGGAAACTTCCAAAGCCCAAAATGAGCTCTTGCCTGGCTGAGTCAGGCTCTAAGTCCACTCCCACCCCCAGTGCCTTTCACCCCCAAGCTGACCTTGGGCAGACAGATGCTTCCCTGGCCTTTCAACCTCCAACAGCCAAGAACCCAGCTTAACTAAAATGGCCAAAAGGGTTCGGGGAGAAGGGCTAGGGGCAGTTTCCACTTCTACAACCAGGAAGGCGGGCAGAAAAGAAATGATGGGGGGCGCAAACAGAACGATTGCTTTCCGCATCAACCTCAGTCTGGGCACATCTACTTCGTGCCCACTCACAACTGTATGTACATCTCGCCTTAATCACTGAAACAATGCCCTGGACAAGTTAAGAATCTCAGCAGTTCAGGAGGCTCAATTGGGGATTAGGAAATGATTATTCCAACCCCTGATTCATACTAGATCCTAAATGTTCTCTCTGTTTCTTGCTAAAATTCAACAACCTGGATTCAACCTGAGCCCAGATTTAAGTTAAAACTCAGGAATGGATGTCAGCAAACTGATGCAGAAGTATGTTCATATCCCCTTTATCAACCACAATCCCATCATTAAAAATCTGCTCCGGCCCTGTGGTCCCCTGTAAAGAAGCAAAGCTGGAATCACTGGGCCACATGGAGTTTCCCCTGAGTCCCCGCTGCCTGGAGGCTCCCTGGCGAGTCAGTGCTATCACGGATGGCCCCATCTTACCTCAGGCAGAGCCCTCTCAGGGGGGCCAAGCCACGTTGCCTGCTTACACACGAGGTGTCTGGGGTGTGCCTTCTCCAAACCGTGAGTGTTCTTCATGGAGTCTGGACTGAGGGCCTGCCATGTTCTCTGCAGACTGAAGTTTGGGACCTGATTTGTACAGAACAGGCGACCCCTCCTCCTCCCAGCTGGAACTGGAGAGAAAAGTCGCCATGTTCTCTCCTACACAGGGTTGTATGTGTGAAATGAAAACTGAGACCAACAGTAAGGAACTGACTGACATGTTTTCACTGAGAAAATGTCTACACATGGCCACCCTTTGTAGGGGAGGCACTGCCTCCTGTACCTTCCCTTGGCCTTTGCATTCAATATGGAGGAATCTTTTCCACTCACCCCCTTTCATCTGTTACAGAGATATCTCCATATAATGCTTAAAACTGGGTATTGTCATTTATTTTAAAATTCAAAAGAGATCAGTAGCTCAGAAAGCAGCGGCATCCCCTGTTCAGAATGCCTTGGGATCTATTTTCCCAGTTTAAATAGTTGGAAAGTCACTTTAAACCTTGGGTGCTCTTCTTGGCAATAGAGAAAAATTGCCATAACAACAGACTTGGAAATACACACGTCCCTGAACTGAACTGGCCTCCTGCCTTCTGTTTTAAGCATACATCACAAGTCAAAATGAATTAAATGTAAATCCAGTTTGCAATGGTCCATCACTAATGCACCTCATTGGAACGAGCCGGCGGCCTGTGGTTTGGAAGGGGGCCCGTGGCATCCTTCCTGCTGTCTTGGATTGCAGTTCTGCTTGCCAAGCCAGCCCCACCCGGGAGTCCACAGCCCCTCCACAGGGGTGGAGTGAGGTAGGCGGCCACCCTGAGCAGCTACTGAAGCCCAGCCAAGGGCCCAAAACCACAGGCCTTCTTCCCCAGGCCGCCAAAGTCAATCAAGTGTCAAAGAACTGTCATCTGCAGGAACTTTTCATAGTTGAACACAAGCAGAATCAAGAGCTGCCACTGGGGATTTTCCAAAGAAATGGAAAAAAAAAACACCTAACAAAGGCCACTCATGAGAACATAGCCAGCAAGAAGCAGGAAGCATATCAGGCTAATATTTTAATCTGTACATCACATTTTTTTTTTGCAAACCATTACACTTTTATTTAAATTAACTTTTCCTTGCAAAATATTTTCATTTTTCCAACAAAATCTTATAAAGGCAAAAATAAAATCTTATTTTGGCAAGTGTCATGAAGTTGATACCGACAGCATATGGAGTTGGTTAAAAATAGATGGTGACTTCTAAATATATTCAAGATACTTTTTCTGACCAAAGTCAAAGACAAATTTTCATTTAAAGTGTGGCTCCACCCAATGGAGCTTTCTTTTCTTTCCTTCTAAACATCATTTTCTGTATGCAGAATATTATGAACTCATGACTTAAGGGCCACCAACACTGCACCTGGCTTGGCAGCTCCCTCATCATTTTAGGCTGGAAGTCAAGTCAGTATTGCCACTGTGGCCCTGCTGGCTGCTGGCCATCGGGCATGGTGGGGCACACTGCCTGCCCTCCTGCCACCAGACCCAAGTCCTAGGGAGGCTGACCTAGGTTCTCACAGGACAGGCAACGAAGGTCCCAGGATTCCCATCACAGTCTCATGTACAGTCAGGGGCTTTTAGGTAGATGCCACCCAGTATGAAGATTATTGCTTATGATACAATAAAAGGTGCTTCCTCTCTCTTTTTCTGTATTTCAAAGGGGTGTTTTGTTTGTTTTTTTAATTAAAGCCAACTGCCTTCCCCCTTCCCCCCACCAGATAAGAGCCCTTTGCTGAGAGAACCTCTTGGGTGGGTTGGGACCCAAAGCTCTTGAACACACCATTGCCCCTCAACCAAACCCAGGGGCCAAGGCACAGCTTGGGTTGCACCTGCCAGCCCAGCGGAGTTTCACTCTGCAGAGCTGGAATCCACTGAAAGCATGTCTCAAATCCAACCTTCACCTGAGTTTATCGGATGTTGGGCTGGCCTCTGCCTGCCCTGCCCTTCTCCCCCCACCCACACCTACCACCCACACGCAACCTGAATCTGTACATGCAACTCCAGAATCCTGCATCCTCACCTTTCCAGCCACTCAGCCCTTGAGGTGAACATTATAAAATATATTCTGATTCTAAAATACAGTGTATTTTACAGTGTGTATCAAAAGTGCCTCTGTCATTTGTAAAAAGAAGCCTGAACTAAAACAAGTGGGGTGCAGGGTTGTCAGGACCTAGCCCTGTGGTGAACACCCCACAGTGGGTGGGTTGCTTCCTCCTGCAGCGAGAACTCCTGCTTAGCTGGAAGGAGTGTCCTTAGGGGAAGGAAGATCAATCTTCTCAGAGGAAACTTCTTTCACTGCGCCCCTGGCTTCAGACTTCTTCTCTGCATGCTGGGTCACGGATCAGTCACTGCCTGGGCTGGCAAAAAGCACAGGAGACCATGAGAGACTGGCAGGCCTCCAGCCCACATCTGGGGAGCAGGCAGAGGGTATGTCTGCATACACATGTGACAAGAGATGGCAGGCTGATGAGGCAGAGACAGGCAGAGCAGAGAGCTGGGGCAATGCGGCCGCTGCTGGGGTCCCTTGGCTTCTAGGACTCATGGGTGCTCAGCCCCACCCCAATATTTCTAGGAATTTCCCAGATACATGCTGGACCCTAGATTGGGTCCCTGCTCTGTTGGAGCAAAAGCCTGAGCAAAGAGGACTCTGGGGTCCAGTTCTGGCCCTGCCCTTAATTCACTAAGTGACTTTGGATAACTCTCTCAGCCTCCATGTGCCTCGTGTTTTTAATCTAAAAACAGGGTGAGCATGCCCACCTCCTAACAGGAATGGTGTGGAGACAGGAGGAAATGAGGATATGCTCTGAAAAGAGCATTAAAGGCCTATCTCACAGCCCCGCGGGCACCAGAAGTGGGGAGGAACAGAGCCTGTCCCCTGCGTCTCTGTGGCCTGGCAGGGACACCACGCTCAGAGCTCCAGAAGAAAGCCACACACCCTACTGTGGCTCTGGCAGGTCCCTGTGGACTTCACAAAGGACCCGGCAGGAGCAGCTCCCTGTGGCTCCTCAGCCAGGGGGTCTGCACTGCACACCTCCAGAGAGCCTGGCCCAGGCAGCTGCTGTTTTCCTTCCTCGCTCAGGCTGGAGAGGCTCGCAGAGTGCCCAGGCTGGGGGGCACCTGCCGAAAACCTGTGCCCCGCACCCAACTCACAGACGCTCTCCATCCCTCACTTCACTCCCTTCTCCAAAAACAGAGAGCTCCTGGCAGGGGCCCAGATGCGTCCGTCCGTGGGTAGTGAGGGGTCCAGAACAAAGGCTCTGAACTTGCCCCAGGAGGCTCGAACCCAGACTTGGACACTTACAGCTGCAACTCCTTCTGAAAGTTCCCCAAGATTTCTAAGCTTCTTTCCTCATCTGTAAAATGGACGTGAATATCTTCACAGAGTTGTGTGGATCAGAGGAGACGCTTAGTACCGTGGCTGGCACACAGCAGGACGCCAGCATCAGCCATAGGTAGACACACTGGGCCAGACACGGGGCCTCCTGACTCCTGCTCCCTCCCCAGTCCCACACTGCCTCTCATCACTGATGCCTGGCTAGGGAGGACTCCGAAGAGGCGGTGCCAGAACATTCTGAATGGCTGAGGACCAATTTCAGATTGTCCAGATTGTCCTGGGCAGCCACCCCCTGAAGCTTCCCTTCCTTTCCCCCTGAAGTACTCAAGTGACAAAAAGGGAAGTGCTGTCCTTGCTCTGACACCAACTCCGAGTGACATGCGGTGAGCCCCCATCCCCTCACTGGGCCCCAGTGTCCTCATCTGTAAAACTGGACTTAATCCTCCAGTTCTTTGATTTCTTTGGCCAAAGTCCTGAGAGGCTGAGATCTAACTCTCTTCTTTCCGACCTCCCCAAGCCAAGCCCCCATCTGGCAGCCCAGCTCGCACCAGTCCTTGGGGCGCTGTAGGCCTGCGGAAGGAGAGCCGGTGAGGAGGGGCCCGAGATTTCAGGGAGGCAGGGGGCTTGGCTCACCCAGTTTCTGCTGTGTCAGAGCCACTGAAGATTGACCACCTAAAAAACATCAGTCCGCACTGCCTACCAGCCCAGGGGGGGCGGGTGTCTCCCCAGCGGCCGCTTTGCCAGTGGAAGGAAGCGTCAGCAATCACCCCAGCAGCAGAGGGAGGGGGGCATGCTCAGCACCAGGTGAGGGGCCACACCAGGCAGGGCTCTTACTTGGAAGGTGTTAGACAAAGGTGTAGTGGAGTCCGTTGCTTAAGGGGGGATAAGGTGGCACCGTCCTGGAGGACAGGGGGCCTTTAGGCGGGAGGGCCAGCTGCTGTGCTAGACGGGCACACAGGAATTAAGCGGTGTGTTAGGCCCCTCCTCTGCTCCTGCAGCCCCTGAGGCCCCACCTGGCAGGGCTGGGGTGGCATGGGCCCCGCTGCCCATCGCTGGTGGCCTGAGCTTGGGGAGGCACGACTCTGTAGCCTGGTGGGGGCCCGGTTGGGACTGCCACACAGCTACCAGACATGGCTCAGACGTGAAGTGAGGCAAGAGTGAGAAAAGGCTGCAGCAAAGGCAGCCACTCAGCGGGGGAGTGAGGGGGACCCTGCCGGGTGACCACAGGCTGTTAGTCTGGGCATGGTCTCAGCTGATGGCAAGAAAGCCGAGGACAACAGGTCCACACAGGCTGAGAAAGCACAGGTCAGAGAAGAGGCACTTTATGGTGGGAAGACCCCCCACAAAGCCCTCCACATGTAGAGAAGCTCAGGGTTGCTGAGGTGGCTGCAAGGAGCTCCCAGGATTAGTAGGAGGAGGGGTCTGGGTGAGCCATCTGTCTCCCTGGCCACTGAAGGCCACAGTGACCGGGTCTCGGCCCGTTCGCATGTCCTCAAGGCAATCAGGAGAGCAGGGATTCCAGGGACTCTGTGCAGTAGGACAGGGGACAGAGTACAGGCCTCCCTGTGTCTGCTGCTCCCATAGTTTCTCGACACGATGTTAAAGCTGTGCTCCCAGGACCAGACTCCCCACAGACAGTCACCTCAGGGCCCAGCAGGCTCCACCCTTGGTCACTTCTAGACCCTTCAGCTGGGACTGGAGGACTAGTGGGGGCCGGGACACCACTTCAGGCTCTACGACCACCCTTTTTCTAGAAGGCCTGGAGCACACCTGGCTGAGAGCAACGTCTAGACACACAGTGGCCTCTGCACCTGGGGAGAACAGCACTACTAAATGGACTGAGGGCAAACACGGGGAGCAAGGTGTGCGTGGAGGGGGCAGCCAGGACACCTGCTGGCTGAGAAAGCTTTTTTATATGTGCGCACACACACACACTTAAGCACCCACCCTCCCCACATCCTAACTGTTATCTTTCCCAGTGGCCAGCTAAGTCCCACTTCCTGAGTCCTGCGTTCTAGCACAGGCCTCTCTGGTAAGGTGGATGGTGGCTCTGATTTGGTGACCAAGCCATGGGTCCTGGGTCATCAGAGGGGCCTGCTTCCGCCTTGCCCCAGCAAGAAACCCAAGCACCAATGGCTTTCCTGGCCCCTTCCTCCTGAGGCCAGAAACCTTGGCCTTGGCCCCTTAGCTCAGGGGCCTCAAAAACCTGTTCTTAACCCAGTCTCAGAGCACACTGGAGAGCAGCAGCACTCCCAGATTTAAGAATGAGCCAGAGGCACCCTCTCCCAAACCTCCTTCCTCTGGCACTCCTGAGCGCCGGTTCCCCCACTGCCTGGCCTGCCGCACGTCACGTTCCAAGGCCTGGATGCTCACGGGACAGGCCTTCAACTACCAAGCCTGACTCCTGGGTTTCCGCTGATTCCCTGACCAGCCATGCTGGGCTCTGGGCCCAAGGAGCAGTGGGCAAGACCTGCCTTAGAGGCTGGCATCCACGGCCTCACCTGCCACCTGCTTGCTGCGCTGGGAGGCCTCGGAGGCCAGCGCGTAGGAGATGTCGATGATGCGCTCCTGCTCCTGCAGCTGCGAGTCCAGGTTGGCCACGCTGTTCCAGTCCTGGCCTGCTGGGGGCTGCAGGTTGCACATGCTGCGGGAGGGCCAGAGAGCAGGCTGTGGGCCTAACCACCCACAGGCATCCGCCTCAGGACGGCAGGGTCTCCCTGACTCACTCATTTGGAGGACATCAGATAAAAATGGTGCACTTTCTACCTAGACAAAGGTGTACATGCTTCTCCCTAAATACCCAGGGCACACAGGAATTAAGCAGTGTGTTAGGTCCTCATCTGCTCCTGCAGCCCCTGAGGCCCCACCTGGCAGGGCTAGGGTGGCATGGGCCCCGCTGCCCATCACTGATGAACACCCTGTGTTCCTTTTTTGGGGTATCACAGACCTCAAGAGTTCCAGCTCTAGGCTCCAGTTAAATCTAGATGTGAAGTGGCTAACCTGCTCTGAAAGGGAGGCCCTGAAATAGCAGGTTTGTGTTTCTGGAGCTACAGAGACTGAAGGGCAGGGAAGCCACTTCCTGGGGGTCCCATCCTGGCCTCCGGAGAAACGGACAGGGCCTCTGACACTTCAGGACAAGGCTGGGCTCCTGGCTCTGGTCTAGCGGTCTGTGTGAGGGAGCACAGGTCCTGACGCTGGGAGGCCTGTCCTCAGGGCTGATCGCCAGCTGTGTCCACATCACTGCCACGCTTGGCTCCACTTCCCACACTTGCCAAGGTCATGGCAGACAGATTTGGGGGCGCAAGCCCAGGACGGCCCTCTGTGAGTGGTTCAGCATTTCCCAGATGACCCAGGCGGGCTTCCTCACTGATCTGCTGGTGACATGCTAAGAGCCAGTCTGCCCCTTCCAATGAGTAGGGTTTACCTTAGTCGGAGGCTTGGCAAAACATACACCCTAACATGCCTGGCCCAGGGTTCGTTCAGTTGAGACCCCCCAGGGTCGGGCCCAGCAGGCCATCAGGACCTGGGCAGCTTAAGGGCTGACCTGGACCGGGCGAGAATGCTGCGGATCTTTTCAGCTTTGCGATACCGTGCCTGCAGCTCCTCAAGGCTGGGTGGTTCTTCAGGATCCAGCTCCACGTAACGCTCGGGTATGGAGACCTTCTCTGGTTTGGCCAGCTGAGGAGAGGACCAGGAGGTGGTGGCAGGGAGCCTCAGATGTCTGGGTCTGGGACCTGCTCCCCTGCAGCATCCCCCACCGTGAGGACGTGCAGAGCCCTCAGTGGTAAGCAGCTCACTAAGACCACCGCAGCAGTCCTCTGTGGAGTCAGGATCTCCACCTGGGTCTGACTCCAGAGCCCTGTGCTTTCTACCACCTCAGACAACCACCTACAGGCCGAAGGAAGAAAATGGGGAAGGCAAAAGAACTAGACCTGAGAACTAGGAGCGCTCAGGATAAAAATTACCGTTCCTAATGCCCACTCAGGGAGACCTGGCCCCTGCCGACCTCTCCAGCCATACTATGCGGCCTCTGCCTGGGATGCTGGTCCTCTTGCTCCCGGGACTCCTGCTCAGCCTCCCCACCTCACCTCCAGGAGCCTTCCCCGACCCTCTGCCACCACTCCTCCCTCATCTTCTGTCTCTCTCTCCTCTGTCTAGTGCAGGGACCTGGCACTTAGCAGCCCTTCCACAAATTCTCCTCGGCTGGGTGGCTGGTTGGGTGGATGAAAGGAAATGAAAGTGCTTTCTGTCCCTACAAAAAGCCGCTTGGATCTAGACGGGAGGAAGCCATGCTGTCTCTATCACTTTCAAGAAAAAATGACCCAACTCCTTCCCATCAGTCTTTCACATGAACCAGAGGCAATCTCAGCTTGGTGAAATCTCACAGGGGCTAACAAGGCTAAAAGGCAACTTTTGCACACCCTAGGAAATGTCTTCCTCCTTGTGCAATAGTACATTAAAATGAGGTTGGTTGAAGCTTCTAAAAATAAGCTGAATGCAATCCCAGGGCAAATCTGGACTTGAATTTAAACCCATGCACACCTTTTATTCTGGCAAAAGATGGCAAGAAATAAGCCCTTCTCTATTATTTCCAATGAGGGCAGATCGAGGGGAAGGAAATAGATTACATTGTAGCAAGAGGGATTTAGGTTAGAGATAAGGACTTCCCCCCAGGCTGGCAGGCCAATTAGGACACTGTAAAACGCACTTCCTTTGCCCAGGTAGGGTGTAGAAGCCTTGTTTGTATATCTGAGACAGCACAGACCTCTGGATATTTCAGAGGTGCCAAAGGGAAAAGGTATGAGGGCAGGGGACTGGCCACATTAACCCCTGGAGCTCCAGCTGACCCCAGAATTCAGCAACTCCACAGGAGCCGGTATGTCCACACCCGCTAATCTATCCTTCATGTAGTGGGAGCATTTCCTCTCATGCAGTTTCAGGGAAGGCCAGTCCTCGCCAATGTTTTTGGGGTATCTGTGGGCCACTGTACACTTCATTCAACAGTTGTCATTCACCAGATATTTTACAGAGCACCTACTATGTGCCAGGACTGTGTTAGGTGTACAAAGGTAAACCAAACAGCCATAGATGTTGCTCTACAGAGCTTACAAATGGTACAATATAGGGCCACAGGAGGCCACACGTGTCAGCCAACTCTGAGTCTGTCACCCTCTGATGCCCTTGGGTAAGAGAAATTGCTGATTGGAATAGAGCGATCAGGTTACTTGCTTTCCAGGGCCTGCCTGGTCATGATGCATTTGAGCCACCAGAGGGCGCCAAAGGAATTCATAACAGAACTATGCCCGCAGGTTTGCCTGTGATTTTCAAACTTGTCCCCCTCTCCCCACCACCAATCAAGTCTGATTGCCCAAGTCCGCCTGACTGGCCTGTTACAAGACCATCCCCTGATTTTCCAGGGAACATTTCCTAACAACCACTTCATCACGTGCCTACTATGTGCCAGCCCCTGTGCTCATGGCTTTCTGATCATCTGCTGGTCCTCTGGACATCATGCTGAGTCACTTAGTCCTCACCACAACCCACTTCACTGGTGAGGAAACCGAGGCCCGGGTAAGTCAAATGACTTGGCCCAAATGACAGAAAAAGAGATTTGAACCTGGGCTCCTTTTATTGTCTCAAGCTGCTATTCATCAAGTCTCCTGGGCTGCATGGAAGCTGAGCCTTGTCCCCACACAGGACGACACCCACCAGGCCACTGGGAGGGCTGGTCAGGCTGCGAGCCTGGCGGCCATGCCTCCTGGGCGCCCCTGCCCTCACCTCTCTGCTGATGTCCAAGTCATAGTCTTGTGGTTCCAGGTCCAGCTCAGTGACAGGCATGGCCTGCACTTTCAACCAGCCATTCTCCTCGTCCTTTCTTTCCCCTTGCATGGCCCGTTCCAGCAACTGCAGGTCAAAGTCCTGCTCACGCTTCCACTGGCAACAGAACAAGAGGGTTATGTAGTCATTTCCTCACTGCTAGAAGAGCCATGCCTGTCTCCTTTCGGATGAGTCTTGCAGACACTGGGGGCCTTGGGAAAATGGGCCTGTGACCCATTAGGGAAAGGCTGTGTGACCATGGACCACAACCTCATCTCTAAAACAAGGCAGCAGTTTGTGACACAGATGGTCCCTGCTACACGCTGTGGACTCTATGTAACGGAGAACGAGGCATCTGCCCCTTTTATATGGCCTGATTCCAACTGCTGATTTCTCTTTGATCTAGACCCCCAGAGGGTTCAAATGTGCACCTCCAAGGTACAGTTCTAAGACCCATGACTTCAGACTTATAATGGTCCCCCAGGATAGAGGAGGCTCCCGGGTCCAAGAGGGTGACCCTAAAACAACCTGGGACACAGCTCCAGGGAAGGGATTTGCCCCTTCTGCTGTCCCAGAGCTTACAGGTTTTCTGTTTCAGGAGCTGTACATCCCAGTTCAGAAATAATGGGAAAGAAAAAAGCCCTCTGAGGCTTTGATAAGTGGACTAGCCAAGAGCCTGCCTAGTGGGCACTCCCAACAGAACGCACTTAGGGGTAGGAAATATTGTACCATGGAGGGGCTGGGAAGGTCCAAGCAGGAGCAGCTTGGGGCCAGTGAGACATGAACTGTTGTATACCATGACATCTATTTGGGGAAGATGTTTTAAGTTCAGAAAAAAACCCACAAAGCCATGTAAAATTGAAATGCTCTATCAAATGCAACATTTCCAAGGCTGTACCTTAGTACCAACTTTGTAACAAGCGTCCCTTCAGAGGGAAAATATAACCTGGCCATATGAGATCCAAGCACAACTGTGCCACTCGGTGGTGGTCTTCCTCATCACCTGCGGCCTGTGTCCTCACAGACCTTTGATGCTGAGCAGGTTGATGCAAGTAGGGACCAGGCTCAGAGCCACTCTTCTCCTGGGCAGAAGCTAGTGGATGCTTCCCCACCCCGGTCACCAACTTCCTCTCACCCCATCCACCTCTCGGAGCCCCAAGAGGTCATGACTGCCACTGATGCTCTCTCAAGTGCCCCAAAGCCCCAAGACCATAGCCATATCAGCACATTTCACCCATTCATGCACAAGCTCTCCAGACTGACTCCAAACCAATGTAATCGTTCTTAGTTGATGGTTTCCAATTATAATATGGAAGGCTCGGGCAGCTGAAGTTTCAGGGATGAAGAATTTAACGATTCACAAAGAAAACGTACATTTTTCTTACACGCTCACAAATGCCCCAAAAAGAGACAAGTCCTCATTTAAACCCAGCCTGATTGTTTCCACAAACAAACAAAGAAAACCCCAGTAGACGCTCCGAGGCTGCCTGGGGAAGAACCACGCCAATCCACCATCATTAAGCAACACGTTTATTGGCGCTGCTGCAGAGACTTACAGGAGCCTTTTTTTAAAAGAAAAATTACAAGGTATTCAAGTTATGATGTTTAGGTAACCTTTCTACATTTGAGACATCAGGTTGGAAAAGATCAATGTTACCCAGCATGACATTTGCATATAAAGTATAAAAAGATCCTGGCTTTGCAGCTTCTCAGAATATGAGTGTCCTGGGTCTCAGCCCTGTGGTGTCTAGGCTAAGAGCTGCAGGGAGGCCCTCTAAATGCAGAACACAAGATACAGTATCTCTGCTATCTGTTCAGGTCACTTAAATACTACAAACACAAAATGTTTTCCATAAGAAGCTGCGATGGAACTGAAGGAATTAAAACCAAACCACCTTAGACCTGGTAGAATTTACTGAAATATGCAGTCTTTGAAGTCTGTGTTTACTGTCCAGGTGTGAGGCATGGACCTTATAAATTCATAATGCCCAGACCTCTGCCAATGACCCTGACCCTCAGGCAGCAGTTGGCTCAGCCTTGTGGGGTGGCCTTGGGATAAGTGAATTATGAGTCAGTAGGCCTGCACAGGGGGGCAGCAGACAAGTGAGTCACACAAAGGAGTGCTCGCTAGGCTATGGAAACAAGAGCTGCTAATACAAGCCTGGTAACAAAGAGCACAGGCTAGTTAGAGAATGTTCAATGCAAATTAGAAGCTTCTGTAAACACAATCAGGCAGGATTAGAGAGGCAATGAGCGGTAATACTAAAAGCAAAAGAGCTTGTGCAATGAATTAGGGAAAGAACAGTCAGGCTAGAGGTCTAGGGAAACGTTTAATTTCAAACAACAGGGTAAAGTCAAATGGAATGTTTCCAAAAGGGACCTAAGGCGACTGTGGGCAGGGTGCAGGGCCTGGAAGCACCACAAGGGGGCAGCAGAGCTTCCCTGGCTCTCCTGGGCACCCTGCAGCTTGTCAGCACCACTAGCTGTGAAGACCAGCCCTCAGGACTGTGGGGGCAGGACCCTGTGCTCCGTTGCCCCCAGGGCATCCACTCAGAGGCTTGGGAGGCTGGTTGGCCTGCATTCATCCCCGCCAAATTAGGTCGCCATCTTACTCCTCCACTCCTTGAGCCTGCATCCCAAGTCCTAGATTCACCTGAGACCCTCCAAATGCCTACAAAGGTCTGTCTCAAGCTCGGCTCACAGACGGAGCTTTGGACGCTTTCCCTGGCTCCTAGGCTCCTGCCAGGACACCCTCACTCCTGCTCTGATACTGGGTCTCCTCTGACCGAGTCACGTGCAACCTGGCTTATAGACAGGCAGACCGTGGGGCGTTCTCTGAACCATGGAGGTCAAGAGGCCACCCTCTCAGGGGTGTGAGGTGCTGCGCTTGGGGAGTCGGGGAAGTCCTGCTCTCTGCCCCAGCCCCGCCTGCCTGGACCCTCCTAACATACTGAGCTGAGATCTCCAGGCAGCAGTTGGGTGAGGTAGCGGGGCGAGGGCGCCCCCGTCCTCTCTCCTTGGCTCAGCGTCCTCTTGCGCTCGCGGACCAGCGCCTTCTGGTGGCGCTTCATGCGCTCCAGCTGCTCCTCGGCACTCATCTTGCCCTGCTGGTGGTCCCCCGAGTACAGGCGCTCCAAGGCACTCTTGGGTCTCTGGGGGGCAGGACAGACAGAACAGCAGGGCTGGAGCCACAGGGGGGCCATCCTGCTGGTTGCATTCCTGTTCTTTGTCTCTCTCTCTCTCTCTCTCTCTCTCACACACACACACACACACACACACACTCTCTCTCTCTCTCTCTCTCTCTCTCTCGCTGGGCTCCTCTTGGCCATGGAGAACTACTTCCTCTAAGCACAGCCATGGACATGATGCCCTGGCCCTCAGGGGTTCCCTGGGCAGCACCCCATTCTGTAGACACATTGTGGCCCAGGCCTGTTCAGTCACACACACATGCTGCATGTAATAGAGCCAGAACTCAGGATGCAGTCTTCCTGGGCACCCTCCTGTGAGCCTAACAGGCTGGAGAGAAAACTGGGTGTGGGTGGTCCTCAGGAAATGGAGAGAGCAGTGCCATGCCCTTCTTGGTGGGCAGTGGGGAAGGCATCCCTGAGCACATGGTGACAGGGCCCCTGAGCTCAGGAGGGGCAGCAGTCATCTCAGAGGCCATCACCAGGGCTCGCAGGATCACCAGTCACCGTCCCCTCAAGCATGTCCCTCTGTGAGGGCGAGAGCAGTGAGCCCTCTGAGAACATCTCAAGGCCACTCACGGGGAGGGTCACCTTGCTGCTGTCGGCACTCAGACCCCTCCGGAGGGTGACGTAGGGAGCAATGGTGGACGACTGTTGGAGCCTTGATGTGGATCCCGAGAGCCCTTAGTGAGGAAAGAGAAATTCAAGTGTTTTTGTGGTGGAGTGGACAGGCCACCAGCCCCCCTGTCCCCCGAGTCATCTCCCACTCCATGAGGGGACCATGGGGGCCCAGCCAACACCCACTCTTCTTTCTCCCCAAGGCTCCAAAGTAGAAGAGGGGGTCAGCTGGGGTATCTCCCTAATGGGGGACAGTGTTCCTGCAGGTCTGTGGACTGCTTTAATCTTCCCTCACATGCACACCTGGGCTGCTTGGCAGGTGGAAAGGATGGAGGGAAAGGATCGCCCTTCATCCCTTCTTCCGAATAAACTGCTATGCATCCTGCATAATGCAACTTGGATGCCCTGCCTGTGAGAAGCCTTCTCAAATGCCCCAGGCAGAGTCAGTTATCCCCTAGGTTCTTCAGTATGTTCACTGGCTACAGCACTGCCCACATACCTGTCCAACTAGCACGCAAAGCCTGGTTGACCAACTGACTGAATGAGTGAATTAAGTAAACGAAGGAAAGAAGGCACCAACCATTTATTGGGCACTAACTACATAATAGGCAGGCACTCTACTAGGTGTTTTGTAAGAAACTGCAATGAGACTGAAGGAATTAAAACCGAACCACCTTAGATTTGGTAGTATTTATTCCCACTGACTCTATGAAGTGTTACCTGACCATTGTAGAGGCATGTAATCTAAGACTCAGAGGTGTGCAATCTATGACTCAGAGAGGTTGAGAAACTTGTCCAAGGTCACAGGGCAGGAGCATGGTTGGCCACGGGCTTCCCATGTCTGGGTCCTATAGCTTAGAGGATTCATCTCACTTGGGCTGGTGGGTGCTTCCTATCAGGGGCAGTCTGGGAAAGTTGGAGATGGGCACCACCCTCACTGAGGACACCATTAGAATTAGCAAATGTCCTGCAATGCCCAGAGAAACCTGAGCCACAAAGAACTCTCCTCCCCCTAATACTGCACTGATAAGCACCTCTAGGCCCTAATGAAAGGAGAGATAAGGGTCCCCAGGCACAGTGCCAAGGGTCACTATGGCTCCAGCTCAGCAAAATCCAGAGCCTACGCCCTTCAGGACCAGGTCAGGCCACTGCCAGCCTGCACAGAACGTAACCCCGCCGGTTCTGGAAGCACAGCTGTGTGTCTTCTTGATCCACTCCTGGCCAGTGGGGGAAAGCAACTGACTTCCCACCTTGGGGAGAAGACACGAGGGTCAGGTGAGGAACAGGTTAGACAGCGGGGTCAGCCTGTTCAGGGGTTCCAGGAGGCCCAGATGCAGGAAGAGTGGGAGGCCTCTGTTCAGGGGGATTTCTGGGGCAAAGGGCCTGCTGTGGGAAGATGGGATATGGCTGAACCAAAGGGCCTAAGTTTGTTCCCATCCCCAACTCAGTGGGACAGGGGAGGATGGTGAGAAGGTGGCCTGACTGAGAAGAACAGTGTGTTTAAAGAAAGGACTTAGAGTGACAAAGAACAAGAAAAGCCCTCTGGAAGGCCTGGAGCAGCTGAACGGATGGCAGTCAGCCAGCATTCCCTCAAGGGGGCAGAGGCTCTGGGGCCTGGACTGGGAGGTGTGTTCTGGCCCCGTCGCTCATCAGCTAACTGGGAACTTACTTATTTTCTGAGTTTTAGTTTTCTTCGCTCTAAATGGGGATGATAGTACTTCCTTCAGAGGATTATTATGAGTATTAACTAAATGAATATAAAGTGCTTAACACAGTGCTGGGCTTCACAACAATTGCTATTATCATAGTTCCTGGGGACAGACTTAAAGAGGAAGAGAATCACGGTGTGGCCAGAGGAAGGAAGGACAGGCCCTCTCTGCAGCTCAGGGTCCCCGACAGCAGCTGCCCACCCCAGCTCAAAGCTGCAGCAGAAGAGTGTGAGGTAACGGGGTGGGAAGAGGTGGTGTGGCAGTGGTGGGGGTCCCCAGAAAGCCTCCCTGGAGAGTCTTGTCTTACCTCTGCCTGGCAGCGTCTGGTACCTGCTCTCAGGGCCCACGAGTCCCAGGGAGGGCTGGGCCATGTCTGCACTGAAGGTCACCAGCTCAGGCTCACTGACATAGGACCGGAGCTCCCCCTGCGGACAGAGTGCGAGGCTGTCCTACCTGCCCAGCATCATGCCACCTTCCCTCTCCCTGCACACAGAGGGGCAACCCCAGGGGGCCTCCCTGCTCACCCTCGAGTCCCCATTCACACACTGCCCCTGCTCCCGATCTCGCTTCCTTTCGTCCGACTGCCGCTTGAGGCCCCTCACCGACGTGTGCCGAATGACAGTGGCCTCTCTCGGCAGAGGGGGCACAGCCGGGGGCTGGTCCTCTGGGCTGTAGAGGTCAGGGAGTGGGGGCCTGGGAGGTGCCTCATCTTCCTGTTCAGAGAAAGAACCAGACCCAGTGCCAGTGAGAAGGAGCTGAGAGGAGGGTGCTGAGTGGCACCACTGGGGCCACAGGCCACCTCAGGCCTGCAGGGCACACCCACGGCAGCCCAAAGATGCCAACATTTCCCCTGGTTGACCTGTTAATGGGGAATGCCTCTGCTCTAACCCTATTCTTCCCTTTGACTCACTTGTTTCACCTGTACAAAATCCAGACCTCAGGTCTCCTGGGTCCACTCTTACTCCATTTGTTTGGAGTGGACCACAGGGGAGGCAGGCTGGCCTCGTACGTCTCTGACAGCATCCCCTCCACCACCACCACTGCCCGGAAAACCAGCGTCCACCCTGCTCCTCAGCACTCAGACTGAACCGGCTCCCTGTCCCTGCACCACCTTTGCATCCCTGGGCTGGCAGCCTGGAATCTGAGGAAGGACACTGTTCCCTCCTGCCTTTGCTATCAGAAATGTTCACGGTCACAAAATCCTTCTTCCCGACTGAACAGGCATCCCGGATGTGTGGCTCACCACCTTCCCCAAAGTCTATTCCCTGGGCCCCGATGAAGGTGACCACTTTCCAGCATACCTCCTGTCCACAGTGCTCTGTGAGGGCTCTGGCTTCTCTGCAGACCAACAGCCTGGCCCCCAGCTGCCATGAACACCCACCCACTGAGGGGACAAATGGCCTCCGAGACTCCCTCCTCTTCAATTCCCCTTTTCTTAGTCTAATTTTGCTTTGTTTTTCAGAACTGTGCAGTAATCAGGAAAGGGTGCCGCACATATGCTTTGCAATTGTTTCTCAGCATCCTTCTAAAGAGACACATTTCATTACTACATGAAAGCTAAGCCGTCTCCTCAAGACACCCGTAGGCTCTCTGAGCACCAGTGGTTTCCAACCCTGACAAGACCTCGGAGTCACCAGGTAAGGTAAACACAAAACACTGATTGCCTTTGATCGAAGGGAATAGAATGTCTGGAGACAGAGGGTGAGAAGGAGACATGTTGTCATATGCTTTTTTATATTTGTACCCTTTGAGATTATTATCTAATAGAAAAATTAACAATATTAAATTAAGAAAAAATAAGCCACATAAAAATGAAAGAACTAGAGTTACAAAACAATGGGGACAATCTCACAAACAAAACTGAAGATACAAGATAAAAAAGAATGAATTCGGTATCATGTACAGGCAAAGCTGAAGTGTTTAGAGATGCAGACATATGTAGCAAAACTTAAGAACAAAAAAACAAAAAGGGAAGGGAATTATCCAAGAAGGTAAAGAGAGTGGTTACCTTTCAGAGAAAGGGACACGGGCCTGAGGACTTCTGGCTGCTGGCAAAGTTTTATTTCTTGATTTGGGTGTTTGTGTAGCATGGATGGTCTCTTTACTGTTATTTGTTAAATTACATATTCATGTTTTATTGCAGAATGAGTATCATTGTTTCACATGAGTATCATAGGCAAATGACGATTTAAAAAATGGTAAAGCTGGTTACCGCACATACACTACCAGAAGGAGAGGAGAGAAGCCCCGCAGTGAGGCTGCTGCTCAACCAAGTAGAAAAGCTCTGCCCCGGAGCCACAGAGGGCCAGGCTGTGAAGGAGGACTGCTGCGACCATCTCTTCCCAGCTGCTTGTTCTCCCCAAGGGAAACTGAGGATGCCGAGGACCCAGTGGGAGAACAAGGGCTGGAATCCAAGTGGGTCCAGCTTCCAGGCTCTTTTTCCCTCTGTTCCTTGTCCTGGCTGGCAGGCTTCATGTCAGCAGCCATCTGCCCCGGCCATTCCTGCTGTTTGTCATGCTATTTTCTACCTCCTGTCTTATGGTGGGTGCTCCATGCCTCTTAGATCTGAGACTGGGAGGGAGATCTCAAGAGGAAGAACTTCACAATGACTCTGGGTCCTGGCACCTGTTTGCCAGCTCAGAGCCCCGGGCTGTGGCTGGAAGCAGGTGGAGAGGGAGGACCAGAGGATGGGAACCCATGTGTGTCGGCCAGAGGTCAGAGGTGCACTGGCCTTGTCAAGAGGTCCTAGACACACCTCACCCAGAAGCAGCTCCTCTAAGCCTGTGCTGGAAAAAACCTGGAGGTCCCCATCCCAAGTCCCCTGTGTTATGGCCCCCCTTTCACCTAGACCAGATCCCTCCTGCTGTCCAGCCAAGGCTGGTCTGGTCCTAGAGACATAAGCTGTCACAGCACTTGACCACATTTTCTGTTTTCTTAAAGTCTCCTGTGCTCCCAGATTCTGCCAAGCGCTTGGCCCCTTTTTATGCCAGGCAAACCAAGGTTGGCCATAGACCTGACCTGAGGACCTGGGCTTAATGTCCAGTTACACAGCAGCTGGGACAAAGAATGGTCAGATGTGGACTGGATCCATGAGGTTATTGTGAAGATCAAATGTGTCCTACAGCCCAGCAGAACAGCTGCAGGTCAAAGTAAGGATACTGCTCTGCTGAGATGAGTCCATCACCCGCAGGCCTGTGTAACAGCAGATCTGCCTGGAGCCCTGCACAGGGCAGCCACACACCTTTCTGTGCAAAGCCAGTCAGTCCACCCTACTCAGCACAGCACCTCCTCCTGCTGGGCCTGTTTCTCGAATGCAAAATGGAAGGGTTGAATAGATCCTCTCTAAGGGCCCTCCCTCCCAGTTCTAAGGGTCTAAGACACAAGGGTAGGGCCCTACTGCTCCTTAACTGCTCATGGCTCAGAACTCTGCCTGGCTCTGTCTTCCCAAGTTTCCCCAAAAGCTTCTTCTCTCCCAAGAGAAGCTGACCTAAGGACAGAGAGGGACCAGCATCTGCCTGGGAGGCAATGACAATGCTCAGCTTCTGGTCATCAGTACTTACAGCCTTGGGCTTCGTCTTGGTTGGTGACTGAAGGGGGGATGTCACTTTCCTCAGCTGGGGCGGGTGAGGTCGGTACGGTACGTAGGTTTGCAGCTGGGGGAAGAGTCGAACCTCCAGAGGGGTCCGCACAGGGCTGGTGGGAGGGCTGGGCTGCAGCGGCTGCTTGCTCTCAGACATCGAGAGTGAAGGCACAGGTGGGCGAGGAAACAAAGGCACCGTTTTTCTCTCTGAGGGGCGTGGAGGGAAACAAAGGATGGGATGGACCAGAACTCACTTCCTTCGCGGGCAAGACGAGTGACCTAGGCCATGGAGACCCGACCCCTTCCTGCAAGGGCCGCTCTAGTGCCTGGAGGCTGGCCTCCAACATCCCGCACCGCTGTGCATGGCCCACTCACCTGGGTTTTTGACCGATTCCACCAGGACCCTGAAGTTCTCTTTATTTGCACTCAGGCCTGCAACAACATCTTCAATCCTCCAGAGATCCTTCTGTATCTGCGACTTCTCCTGAGGACGACAGGTGGTGGTTCATTTCTCTCTTTAGCTCCTCACTAGAAGTTTCTTCTTAGGACTCACACTGTCATTTCAGAGAGGGCCCCTCACCCTGGGGGGCAGCATCCCCCTTGGAAACGCTGCCAGGGCTACAGCCAAGCCTGCTTCACAGCTTCAGAGGGAAGCGCAGACATGGAAGATGCCCAGGGTCCAGGGGGGACATCTCAGCGGGGGGTTCACCTGTCCGCCTGGCCTTGATTGCGGGGATGATTGTTCAACTCTGAATATTCTAAAAACCACTGAACTGTATACTTTAAAATGGTGTTTATATGACAAAGCTGTTATTTTTTTAAAAAGCACAAGGGGAAAAGAGCTAGGCTTCAAGACCATACACACACCCTGACAAGTTACAACTGACATCAGTTGGGGAGAGGCCCTAGAAAGAGGTGGGCAGGGCCTTTTGTGATTAAGGGGCATCTTTCAATAGACTTGTTCAAGCAACATGTATAGTAGTATTTAATTTATAGTGGGGGAAGAGAGCTTTGATCCAACTCCAGGACTTAAAAAGGCTTTACATTCCCACTCTCAAGGCACCTGGCCACCCTCAGTTGGCAGAGTTCCCACGTGTGCAATCCTCACAGTCCTGCCTGCTTCTCCACTAGACTCTGTGCCCCTTGAGACATCCTACGGGGCCAGGTACTCAGCAGCTTCTCAGAACATGTAAATTGAATGATTAAAGAGCCAATCATGTGAAATTCCCCGATCAAATGGTTTCCAACAGCCAATGACAACGTATGTCTGGAGCCTCGCTCCTAAGGGGGCTTCACTGTCTCATACTCTCTCCACCTTTCCAGCAGCAGCGCACATCCTCAGGGCTGACAGGCAAGTAACAGGCTTGGCATTGAGCTCCACACTAAGGTGGGAGTGTCCTTAAACAGATGTGTCACTGAGCCCAGTGTGTGTGTATATGCTAACAGGATTATCTCTAGAGCTGAGGCCCCCAAGTAGAGTTTTGGGAACAGGTGAAGGAGGAGGATGGGATTAAAATCAACTCCCTCTCCTCCCCTGGCAGTCAACCTGGCATACTTCCACCAATCAGTCCATAATCCTGCCCCACAAAAAAATGTTGTCATCCCCTACATGGAAGAGCAGCACAGAGAGGAATTAAGGCCAGAGAACCTTTATTCTTCTTCAAGGGTGATGGAATTTCAGAACTTAATGACTAGGTGAAGGACATTTTGGGGAGTAAGGAGGTGGTGTTTCAGTCTTGTATCCTCACACCACACTGGGCAGGAAGGTTTCCATAAGCTGGACTCAGCAAAGGCTTGAACTCATTGCCCAGAAGTCAGGACACCGACAGGTAGCCTCCTGTCAATGCTTCTCATACAGTGTCCAGGATGTTCCTTTATCTTCCGTCTTCCCTACCCAGGGAAGGTGGCCATGAGGATATTCATAAATGAAGCCACTCATCTTTACTGAAAAGGCTATGAATTTTCTCACAGTCAAACCTGGCTAAAGGGAGGCTTGTTTCCAAGCCCCACTACTGAGAATTCGAACAGACTAGAAGCATAACTCCAAGATTAGTGATCTGTTCAAAATTCTAATGGCTTATCTGGCCTAGAATTACACCCATGCAGCTAGCAGAGAGCCAGCTCAAAGAAGAACTTTGTGAGCTTCGCAGGTCACTGTGCCACTCAGAGAAAGTGTGAGCAATGCCACCAGGCTAGGTGGACATCAAATTGTGGGGACCAGGCTCCAAACAGGCCTATTTCCTAATAAGTTTCAGGGCTAAGTTCTCCAGGGAGTCTGTAACGAGACCTGTTACATTGTACCGATTTGTATTTTGGAGGGGAAAAATGGATTCTGGGCTTGCTCTCTGCTAAATCACCACAAAATAAGGCAAAGTAGAAATAAAAAATGGCCAAAGGTCATATGAAAAGATGTTTAACCTATTGGTAATTAAATTAATACAAATTAAAATGTATGTCCTTTCTCAGCCAGCAGACTGGCAGAAACTAAAAAGATGAATGATATCATCTTTCTGTGCTGGCAAGGATGCGGGCAAACAGGCTCACTATTCTCATTCACTGTGGGTGGGTAGGCAAATGAATGCAATGGCTAAGTGATCTGACAGTATCCATCAACACTGAAGATGTCTACTTATTTCAACCCAACAAGTCCACTTACAGGAGCTTATCTTAGACAAACACTTGTAAGTGAGCTTGAAAAGCAGTTACATAGGTGCTCACTGCAGCACCACTGAAAAAAAGCAAAACACTGCAAATAACTTAAGTGCCATAGGAAGTGGAATCAAGTATGGACTATCCAGACAATGGAATACCATGTAGAAGTTAAAAACTAATTTCATTGACTTAGACCAACAATGTCTAGTACAACTTTCTGAGATTATGGAAATCTTCTATAGTCTGTGCTGTCTAATACTGTAGCCACTTGCCACACTTGAAATGATTCTAATGGGACTGAGGGATACATTTTTAAAATTTAGGTAATTTTTAAATTTATTTTTAAATTTAAATACCTACTATACTAGACAGCATAAATTTGGGGCAATCTTTTCTGGGCAGATTTTCATAACAAAGTATGACAAGAAGAGCAAGTTATGGAACAATGTATAAGAATGATTCCTTTTTAAGTAAACCCAGCTCCCACCCCCAAGTAAATGATATGGCTCTCTGTGTGTGCATATGTTTGGAAATGCACAGAAAAAAGGGTGGAAGGCAACACCACGAACTGGCACTGATTACATATAGGGACGGTGATGGGACTGGGGCAGAAAGGGAGGGTAGGAAGAGGAGCTTTTATTTCATTTTTTGATTTGGCTTCTCATGGTTTGGCTTTTCAGAGAGATGCATTTATGTGTTATCTGTATAATTATAGAAACATAAAGAATGAAATGCTACAAAAAATTACTGCTAAAATTAATGTGGATCATTGAGGCATGAGAAGATTGATTTAACAGGACAGGATAGTTTAGGGAATATAACTAGAAATAATTGCTTGAAGGACTGTGAACACTGAGTACTTGCCAGCCACTATGCTAAGCGTTGGTGGGGATACACAACAGAATGGAAAATGTTAGTGTGGATAAAGGGAAAGTTTAGGGAAAAAACAGGAGCAGCAGGAGACAGACACTTTCTGGGGAACCTAGTAGGCCAGCCCTGAACCACAGGCAGGCATCACCCTTACATGGCCCTGGACCACAGCTCTCTGGGAAGCAGCCCTGAATGGTGAGAGGAGGAATAGCAGGACCTGGGAAAGCTTTCCAGTCAACAAACTTCAGCCCCCTCTTGAATTCCTTCATTTTTCTGGGATAAGGCTATGTCCAGAGAGTCAATATATTCATTAAATCACTTGAAGAACCTTGGCTAGAACTCATTTATTAGCAAGCTTAGCACCAAACCTAGCCTAGCACAGTGCCCTCTTGCACAAAAGTCTCTCAATTAATGCTGGCTGAATTCAATTCAAGAGAATTCATGCCAGGGCTCTGCAAAGAGACACAGATTTGAAGATGGGTTCAAAAGCAGGCTATTTTCCACTTTTAAATTCCTGAGGGTGAGGTGGCCACTGCAGTGGGGGAATACTGGGCAGTTGGAGGAAGAAAAACCACACAGGACCTTTGTTCTCTCACCTTTGGGGCCAGAGGCATCTATCAATAGGGTGGCCTGGTTTGTAGGAGGAGGCAGAGCTCTAAGGCTGCCTTTCCTGAGTGGGGCAGGGCCACCGTGATGGGTATCGTCCAGCCTGGCCTCCAGAAATGCGAATGACTGCCTGGAGAGCTGAAGGACCAGGCTGATGGACACTACCTCCTCAGGTGAAGGGCCGATAACATCTATCTGCTGGAATCAGAGGCGGGAGAGACATGGGCTTCCTGCTGCCGTCTCTATGAGCAGCTAGGAACCCAAGATGAGGCCAAGAACCACAGGAACACAGATTATTCTCAGTCTCTGTAAGGTTCTTAAGGTTGGTATTTGTCTCCTCTCAGGGCTGCTTCCCCCAGTGATCAGTAGTACAACCTTTACAAAGGTTTATGCCCCAGGGCTCATGGTGGAGAGCAGCGAGGCAGGGTGGGCTGGGTGAGGCTTCTCATCACAGCCTGGCTGGGGGAAGGGATCCCCAAGGGAGAGCTTGGCGTGGCAAGCTGACTGAGCCTCGCTGGGGGAAGAGAATGCCCCTGGGCTGGGTGCACAGCCCCACAGGTGAAGGCTCTCCAGAAATGAGAGCTCAGCAGGGGTGAAGAGCCCTTGAGTCACCTGGAAAAAAAAGGCTCTTCTGTGCTGCTCCTGCAGGGTCTGCTTCAGCTGCTGCACGTCACTCTCCAACTTCAGGTATTCATTCCAGGCGTTTTCCATCTCCTGTTGGCCAAAGAAATGCTTCTGAATCCTAGGTATCCCCTACCCCCCCAGAAATGCACCAGATCAGATGGAAAAATAAAAATGTGGAAATTCTGATGGCTTGGAGTTAACTGCACACAGATCCGGGGAATACCTAGCAGGCTAATTTGAGAAATCTGGTCCCTTTGGGTGTCACTGTAGGAAAGCACTCCATGGCACTGGTAGTCATTCCTGTCACCCCCGACATGGTAAGCTACTGTCAGGCGGTAGCCTGGAGAAGTTTTGCTACTCCGAGGCCCTTATCCCCAGCCACCAACTCAACTACAGCTCAGGAGATGAAGCAAGCAGCCCCCCGTCCAGCCCATTCTGGGGTGCAGGGTGGGTGCGGGGGAGTGTCTGCTGCCCTCTACACACAGTGGACTCTCTGGAGAGCTCCGCCCGGATGTGGACAAGGTCCTCTTGCAGCAACCTCTGCTGGTAGGCAATCTTCTCCAGGTGCTGGGGCTGGTCTCGGTACTGCTCCGTCTGTCTGTGCAACACCTCCAGCACAGACTCTAGCTGGTCCTGTACCGGGCAAGGGACAAAGGGCAAGCACATAGCAGGACAGTCCCTGGAGGCCTCCCCGTATCATGCCAGAACTAAACAAACCTGCTGGATCTAACCGTGGCCGGAGGGGCTAGTGCCCAGCTGGTGCCTGAGAGTCAGGGCCTCTGATTCCAGCTCTGACCCTACCCACCAGGTGGCCTCCTGGACAAGTCACCTGAGGGTTCTGTACCTCAGTTTCCTCATCTCTAAATTGCTTATTCCTCCCCTCCCACCAGCAGTGCTTCCTCCATAGCTAGATCCTAGGAGGAAAGGAGCCTTAGGAAGTGAAGCCTCTGCCCTGTCATGACTGCGGCCACTTTTTCCAAGATGGCCCCCCTTCCCAGCGGTCATCACATACAAGCCTCTGGAGCCCTCTTCTCCCAGGCTCACCTCACAGGGCCTCGGGGAGAAGCGGGCCAGAGCAGAGTTAAGAAGGGGGGAAGGTGGTACTTGGAATAAGTAGGCTGAGGTCTCTCTATAATGGTTTCTCCAGGTTCAGGTAGAAACCCCCCAAGAAGCTTCGATTATTTTGCATAAACTAATACCTGTAGTTTGATACTACCATGAGAGTCCAGTCTACATCTGAGGAGAGAGGGGACAACAAAACCACCCTCCATCCAGCCCAAGACTATCCAAAACAGATGCATACTTTGTTCTCCTTGAGAGCCCGGATCTTGTCTTCCAAGTCCTGGAGGATCCTGTCTTGTTCACAGAAGACACTCAGTTTGACCTGTGAGCAAAAACAGGTTGGAGAGGGTCTGGAATGATGGGAAAAGGGCATGGGCCTTGAAGTGTGGTCAAAAAACCTTTGGCTATAGACCCATCCAAACTCTGCCTGAAGTTGCCTAGCCAGGGCCTGGGGGCAGCAGGCAGCCCATCAGTCACTCACGTCAATGTCACTCTCGGCGATCTTCACTGGCTTCAGACTTCGATCCTTGAGAAGGTCCCGGGCAGTCATCTGGGAGGTGAACAAGTTAAAGGAGATTTAACCACAGGGTCTGGGACTAGAACTCAGGGAAAAAGCCCTATGAGGCAAGGGTGTGGAAATCTTGGCAGTGGCAGGTAGGGTTATGGCACCAAAGGGGCAAAAACTCAGGCAATACCTACTTTATTTGAATGCCTATTTCATTTTAAGAAAAAACCAAAACCTTTTTATGATTCTAGCAGCACTTGTAAATTTCTCAAAGAAAATATCAACATTCAAGTTAAAGTAATTAATTTTGCCCAAAATGAACTCAGTATGAATCTTAGAGGATTTGGCTAGGATGGAGTTTTGCTACTGAACCAGGGGTCAAACACAAGTTACAGAAGTCCACGAGTGCCTGCCCGGGCACTGGGGTGGGTGGGCAGCAGCTCCCTGGGCACCATCAGGCCTTAGGCTAAGGAAGTCTCTGAGCAGCCCACCCCACGAGTAAGGTCAGCCTTTCTCACTCCACACTATTTGGGAAGAGGATCTGGCCAAGGGGAGGAGGAGACTAGACAATTCCTAGCTGGGGTTTGCAAGCGATCCCTGAATAACTGAGCCCAGGCAGCACATGCTAAGTCACAAGTCACCCCATCCTCGCCAGGAAGAAAAGCACCACAAAGCCGAGGACAGAATCACCCGAACATGAGGGCCAGTGGGCGCTGGCATTTCCCGCCCCTCCCGTGACCTGATGTGGGCGACATGTTGTCCACCTCTCACTGACCCCTGTGAAGCTAAACCCAATGCTCTAGCACATGTTTTCACTTTCCTCAGATCTCTTTCTTGCCAAAAGCTGTGCAGGGGAGAGGGAACTTTTTCACAGACACATCCCCATGGCCAAGCCATGGTCACGGATAACCAGGTTGAACGTGCCCCTGTGTAGGGAAGGGTGCCTCTCCCTGAGCTCCATTCTGCACATCTGACCAAGGAAATGGAGGCTGGAGCCAATCACAGCTGAGACAGGCGGTGTGTGTCCTACAGCGGGTCGCAGTGCGAACGGACAGTTGCTGGAGAGACAGCTCTCTTGCTCCCTACTCCATCTGGGAGGTCCACTGAGTGTGTGAGTGTGATGGGAGGCAGATTGGCAGAGATTCTCCTCAGAACTCAAGACACCCATGTGCCCAACTGTCCTACACTCCCTCTCCCTGACAATCATCAACAGCAAATCCAAAGATCAAGATTAAGGAGAATGCCTTCTCCGGACTGGAGCCTGGCTGCAGGCCCACCCCCACCCATTCCCACGCTCCCACTTGGTCACACAGACGAAGGCAGAGACCACTGTCTGACTCATCTTGGTAAACTCAGTCCCATTCATAAGGCCTGGCACTCTGGAAGGCACTCGGCAAAGGCTTACTGCACTGTACATAGGTCAGAGGGAAACACGTGTAGGTGAGTGCCATCAAGTTCCTGGAAAACAGCAGGACTCCAGCCAAATTCTGCTCTTCAGACTGGCAGATTATATGTACACGCACGCACACGCATGCACGCATGCACGTCACAGAATGCGCGGACTGTGACAACCCACAAACTGCCCTGGCTCCTGTAAGGGCAGAGGAGCAGGGAGAGGCAAGGGTGAGGGGTGTGGGGATTAATCCTGGTGAGCCACAAACAGCAGAACTTCCCAGGCAGGACTTGTGCCTTAAAATCAGGGGAAGGTAAAGACAAGATGGTACAGCAGGGGAGTCTTCACTCTGTGTCACAGTCCTTCATCGTCTGCTCTCCCAGGGGCTGACCCCTGGCTCATTTCCCTGGAAGAAATCATTTTCAAATTGAGATACGCTTCAGGAATTTTCCCTCCTGGTAAAACTCTTCCCCTTATTTCACTTAAGCTTTTAATGGATGATATCTTTTTGATACTGAAATAGCAAGGCAGAGGATCTAACTGAGCGATGCCTCATTTATCCAGTGCTATCAGGAAAGGAATGAGGTATCCTATACAAAAGGGCACTTTGAGAAACCTGAATCTTTTAAACTTTTTGATGGAAAGCTTCCTAAAAGTACACCCTTTGCTGCCTTCATAGAATAGTGAATATGAATTTAATCTTTTAGGGGAAGAATCAGAGTCATTATAAATCAGTATCATGGAATTTCTTAGAAGCTAGTGTTTATTAGGACTACATGCACCTTGATTAAATGCTCCCAAATTTCTATAGTTTCGTTTCCACTTTAGATTGACAATATGTTTCTTTTCTCTCTCAAGATATTGGTAGCTCCTCTTTTCTAGGAAGTAACTTTCTCTTGTTCCTTTTAAGATGCTGTGAGTTAGCATTAGAGACCCAGAGAGGTGACTTACTGCCTTTCCCTGTCTTCCTCCCCCCAACTGGCACTGGTGCTCCTCAAGGGAGACCTTCCCACGCCCCTGGAGTCTCCCACCATGGTGGGCCTCAGCACATCAGGTAGAATGCTCTGTCTGCCCTCAGTGGACAGTGACTTCATCAAACATGCCTGTGGGGACTGTCATATTTTCTCTGGATCCTCACAGTCCAGCCAGTGTCCAGCATACTGAAGATAATTAGGAAATACTTGCTTAATTAGAGTCTATGAATGTATCACAATAGGGTGAGTTGGCTCAGGACCCAGACTGCTTAGAGTGAAGACCACAGCTTTAGAGCATGGGCTTCGTGATAGTGTTTACACAGCTTGGAGGCCGTTTATAACTTCTGAATTTAGCTTTGTTCCCGAGAGCCGATGCTAATAAAAAATATTATTAGCCCAAAGTAGTACAGTACATCTATTACTATACTACTAAAAGTAGATCCAGTACATCTACTTTTCATTTAAAACTGTGCTGTGATAGCAATGTTTAAATCCATTTAAAACATCAGTGATGAGGCCCCAGCATCTCTGTCTTCAGAAAAAGTGAGTAAGTAGACACTCACCCATTTGAAAGTGTCTGCACTGGAAGGGAACTGACGGCCAGCCAGGCATCTTAGCTCCCCTCCACCACATCCCAACACCCCCCTTCTTGGGGCTTGGGGCTGACTGCTCACACCTTGCTTCCCAATCTGCTGCATCCCTTGGAAAGCTACAGAAGCTGGCCACATATTAGGTAGCATTTCCACATCAGTCCAAGGGCGGTGGGGACCAGGTTTTGCTCTAATCCAGCTCCAGACTGTTTTCAAACATCAACACCCTGCCCCAAAGAAGAGCCACCCTAATCCCAGGGCCACAGTGGAATCTGAGGGTACCCCAGCTCCTCCAAGGTGATCAGGAATTGCTGTTCTTCCCAAGGAACTCACGCTCAACTACAGGGACCATGCTGGTCTCTTTCCAGGCCAGCCCTTGCCATGGAGGCAGACAAATGAGAATGGGAACACGACACAAGCTGGTGGCAAGCTAGGCAAGCTCCCCAACCCCCATGGCAGCACGAAAGATGGAGTCACACAACACCACAGATGAGAGGTTCAGCCTGGTGCACCAGCCAAACACTGACGGGAGCTTCAAGAGAAAGAAAATAAACCAAAATGACTTGCAGGAAGCCTGGGGGCGGTCAGGAGAGCCCCTGGTTAAGCAAGTGATGGAGTCGGCACTGAGCCAGAAGCAATGGAATGGCCCCGCTTGGAGACACAGATCAGATCATCTTACGCTTCTCCTGGGCTGACAGCCCCGTGCTGACTTCTTCAGCACTTTGTAAAGCACGTTGATCAAAGGCTCATTATTTTTTATCTGTACCAAACAAAAAGGCAAACATAACAAAACATAACAGGTGAGACATCAAATGACACTCGAAGGAGCCAGAATTTGGGGAATTAGCAAAGGGAAACCTTAAGGACACTGTGTGCTGGGCAATTCACGACTGGGTCTCAGTCTGGGGTGATGCTTCCCAGCTGGCCAACCTTCCCAGACTTCATCTGTAAACCAGGGTGTAATATGCTCTGCCTGAGGGACCCTTGTGCAGGCTGGTTTACGTGAGCGCACCAACCTCAGTGCCCACTGCTTTCCTGGTTCTGCTGCGGAGGCCAAAGGGAGCCTGCTTCTTCCTTCATCCCACGTATCTTAAACTGTTAAGAGATGGGAGAAGCTTCCAAGCAGTGTCATGCATTAGTCTCACCACACCCGACATTCTTCACGTTCAGTCCCTCAGCGGCCACACCTACGTCATCTAAGCATCTTTACCAATGATCCCAACTGCTGACAGCCCCTTTGAAGGAACACTGTCCCCGCCCACTGACGCCCCCCAACAGTGGGTCTCAACGCTGGCTGATCTCTGGAATCACCCAGTGATTTAAAAATACTGATGCCTGCGTCCTACTCCAAGAGACTCAGATGTAATGGGTTTGGGGTGGGGCCCCAGGACCTGGATTCCTAAAAGCCCTCCTAGGTGATTTTAACTTGCAGCTCTCCTCTAAAAAGTGGTTCTCAAATTTTAATGTACTTCAGAATCTCCTGGAGGATTTGTTAAAACACAGATTTACTGGGCCCTGTCGCCAGGCGTTCTCCCGGCGCAGGTCTGGGGTAGGACCCAAGGTTTTGCACTTCTAACAAACTTCCAGATATTGCTGATGCTGATGATCTGGAATCACACTTTGAGAATCACTGCTTTGCAATTATATTTCTCAGTCATGGTATACATTAGAAACACCTAGGGAGTTGGTTTTTTGGGTTTTTTTTTTAAAGAGTACTACCTTGAGTATTACCAAGCAGACCAGCATCTCTGAGAGGTAGGACCCAGGCAGCAATATGCATTTTAAAAGCTCCCCTGGCTGTTCTAGCTCATGGGAGGGTTCATGATCTCTGCTCCATGTGCCCAAGAACCACTGCAGAGCCTGGCACAAATACGCAGAATTCTGGGCACCATCTCCAGAGGCCCTAATTGCACAGAACCTTCCAGATCTGCGGTTGTTTTTATCAAGCTCCTAAGTGATCCTCAAGTAGATGGTGTCCCAGAGCACAACTTCAGAAACTCTGCTCCAGATGCTCTTTGGAAACAGACCCTCAACAGAGAAACCCTGATTCTCAGGCTCAAACAGTCAGAAGAATCTGGAGGCCAAACACCCAGAGCCACAGACAACCCATTCCTCACCAGGGACAAGAGCCTCTGTGGGGCTGACTGCAACTTGTTCTACCTATAAAGGCACCACATGAGTGGCAGCAGGTACCATCCCATCTCCCCTTCTTGTAAAAAACAATCTAAGCTGCCAATGCAGAGAACCCCACACCTACTTCTTCAGACCCAGCCCAGGTGTAGGGTTCTGAAGAGCAGAACTTCAATGTCAGAAACACAGTTCAGTGAATACAAATTTAGGGTGGACGAAGTACATGGTACACAGAAGAAAGAAGGCAGGTATGAAGTTAGTCACTGGGTTCGAATCCCAGCTGCCTAAGTTGACAGAACTACCTCTCTGATACCTGGGTTCCTGGTTAGTAAGGTAGGGAAAATAATTCCTGTTGCTCGAGGTTGCTGAGAGGATTAAGTGAGACAATGAACATCAAGTGCCCGAATGCTGCCAGGGTGGAGGATGCCTTTGAGTCCACAGCAGGAACTCTCACTTTATGAAGAAAAAACTCCACAACATAGCGGGGAGCAAACACCACAGATGATTCTGGAAGCTGAGCACCAGGTGATAGGGCAGAGGGACTCTGGCTCCTTAAATCTGTGGCCTTTGGGACAGGGACATGGGGAACCCTAGGCCAGCCTGGTGGGGCAGGGAGCCTCCCTCCTTACTCTCCCCACAAGGGCTCAGGGGGAACCTCCCACAAGAAGCCTGTCACAGCTCCTCACTCTCTCCATGGCTATGGGGCCCATTCAACTGCGTCCAGAGGCCCTGGTCTCAGGAACCCCAGCTGTGCTCAGCATCAGCTCATTCATGCCAGTCTCCAGAGCCAATAGGCCTTAGAGTTTTCCTGATCCAATTACACATCCCCCCAATGCTCATCAAGCCTCAGCTGTACCCCAGAGATGGGGGAAGTTCACCATGACCCCAGCTAGTCCTTTCAGAAAAGTTATTTCTTCTACTAAACTGAAACTTGCCTGCTTGCAGCTGCTATCCACTTGTCCTAATTCTACCTATGGCCACAGAAGACACATAGGAACATTCCAGAGCTGTGCAGACTGTGTCTGTGTCTCCTGAATTACCCAAAACTCCTTTAACCACTGACCACTGGGCCCTGCAGCTCTGTTAGGTGCTGCTGAGTTTCTTGTTCCTGCCCAGTGAGCTTTCCTGTCAGAAAATCCCACCCTCAAGCCCCGGGAAGTCTGGGTTTGCAGGCAGCCACCCATGAGGATGATGGCCAGGGAAGAAGTGAATCGGGGTTTGCAAGTGGCCACTCTCCCTGGAGGCAGCCTAATTATCAGGGAAAAAAACAGTGGTTATGTGACCCAATTCCCTAGAAAGGAGCCCCTGGCCACATAAATCTATATTCCCTTTTTGGCCTAGTAGGTTGAGTTTCAGATCCCTGCAAGCAAAGCATTCTGCCTCATAAACTCCTCAGCCACAGCTCTGCAGGTCCTCAAAACCTCTGCTCTGTTTCCAGCCCTTCTCTCCTCTAGATCCTCAAGTGAGACACCTGTCTGGGACTCTACCCGTCGCTGGGTCTCAGCCAAGCAGAGCAGGCCCACGGCCTCCCTGATTCGGGCATCCGGTCACTTGGAGAGAGGCCAAGGTGGAGCCAACCTTTCTGGCAGCCGCACCAGGTGGATGACTCGCGGCCAGCACAAACCTGAGCACCTCCCGTACTGCTGGCATGGATCATCTAGGGAAGAGTTCTCTGAGAGGAGCTTAGCAACTGGAGTAACAGCTGTAAGACCGGGCAAATTCTGGTATCAACACAGCTGCTTTCCATGACAGTGACAACTTCTAGAAAGTCTGATCACCAGCTTATGTTCTGGGTACATACAGCTCCTAGCTATGAAACACCCCAAAGATGCCCTTTTTCTCTACCACATCAAACATAATGGATTTCCTGGGATAATTACCCCAGTTTGGCTCCATAAAAAATGCTTTTGGGTCCACAGTAGTAGAAGTAGCATTTTAGGAGAAGCTGGAGGCAGGATGATTAAGAGCAGAAGCTTCAGAGTCAGAGCTACCCCCAAATATCAACTGCCCAGTAACTACTTAGGTGGCTTTGGGGAAGTCATTTACTTTTCTGAGCCTTAGTCAGTAAAAAGAAAAAAAAAAATAGATAACACCATCTCCCTTACAGGGCTACTGCTGAGGTGACATAATTTCACAGAAGCAATACATAGGGTCCAGCACACACTATACCCTCCACTGTTACTACATTTCTATTGGGAGTCAGGACCCCCAGGGACTCCTGGCTCTGCTCTGCTGTCCTGTGCCTCAATTTTTCTCTTTCTTTCTAAATCCCCTTTTGGTAAAATTCTATAATCTTCAAATTAAACAAATCTGAGCTTCATCTTCCTTCCAAGACCAACTTTGATTTTGAGCTGTCCATACAAACAGGGATCAGAAGACAGGTATTTCCTATTACTCTGCTTGGTACATTACTAAGTTCTCTTTAATACTGTGTGCCAAGCACTCTGAAGAGTATTTCATGATGCCTGTGCTACTAGGGAACCAAGCCTCTCCCGCAGTCCTAGGTACATCTACAAATATGTCTGTGCTGACAGGGCACAGGGAGAAGAACTGAGTAAGGGCCATGGTAACTGGCTACTGGGAGGTCGAGGAAACAGGGACACAGTGGTACACAGGGCAGCTGGAGGCTGGGGGCTGTGGACCTCTCTCCAGATCAGGTGGGGGTGGTGGAAGGACTCTGCCCAGGATCGGGTGCAGGAGGACAGGCCAGGCTGCACATTTAGCCCACTCTGCCATGTCTGAGCCCTCTGCATTCTGCGGCCTTACTACCATACTTGAAATACTCATGGCTTCATGATTTGACTGCCACATAAGCTAGAAAACATCTGGTTTTGAGGGAATGCTCCTTGTTTTGCTTATGTCCAAAAGCCAAGTCTGAGTTTTGTTAACTGCACCTTCCTTCCTAAAGCCTGGGGTAGAATCTGGAAGCTGGTGATCGGCCCCCACCTCCCCGCACCCTAGCCAAATACCCTCACCCCGGCTCTCCTTGGCTCCTACCATCCCTTCACCCAAACCCTCTGGCTCTCCAAGGCCTCAGAGATGTGCCTCCTCCTCCAGAATCCTTCCCAACCTTGTAGCCCACGGCGTCCTCACTATCTCAGCTCTGAGCACGGGGCCAGACAGATCTTTGTCCACTACTGTAAACACATTATTTATTTGGGGAGATTATTTTTCTCTAGCCCAGATGGTTTGGACATCTTTCAAGGCCAGAGAGCCTTGATTTTTCTTGTATCTCCCCTAGACTTCTCCACTATATACACAGCAAGTGCTCAAGAGATAGAGAAGTTAACTAGTAGATTCCTTACCAACGGCCCTGATCTTGTCTCTGTGGGAGCCATCTGTCTGCTGCTATAGGACCTAATGTTCATACCCTTGCCTCTATAAGACTAGAGAACAATCCCCATGTTAAAAATACCCCAGGCCAGGTACAAGGTGGACTGGAGGAGGCACGCTCCCCCAGACAGGCACCTCGCCTGCCCTCTCCTGCCCACAGTTAGTTAAAGGTCACATTCTTCCAGTCTATTACATGGCTCAGGCATAAAAAGTGCTTTTCACAGTAGGAGCTTTCAGAAGAGCTGTGGGAACAAAACAATAGCAGCTCTCACAGGCAGAATGCCGCTTACTTCTGCAGCCGCCTCACGCTGTCTGTGCTCAGAAGCTTTGTTACCTATAGGGAGGGGTCCAGTGTTCACCTCCTAAATGCAGACAGGGAGACTAGGTGAGCCTCAGAGCCACATAATTCCATGTGGAACTTGTTGCCCAGCAACCAAACCAAACAGTCCACGAAACTACTTGTGGCCGAAAATACCCATCGGGGCACTTTAGAGCCAAACCCACCCGCACCCCTCTGGAGGTTCTTAAGAAGTGAGTGGCTATTATTTGGAGAGATCTTTTGGTTCTAACCAAGGACAAGAAGAGATCAAGATCTTGTGCCCTCATTCTGAAGGCAGAGACCTTATAGCAAAATTTGCAAGAAACTGAGCCCAGTCAGAGTATGTTACTGTAAGAAACACAACTCTTCTGATTCAGACAGGAGTCATCTTCATTTGGGATCCACATTGGATAAGACCTGCACAGCTTTTAGCTTTGGATTTGGCTCCAGTGAGGCGGCCACTCTCAAAAAGGTGCATGTACAAGCGAGGCAAGACCTCTGGAGTCACTCACCTTTAGATCCAAGTACTCCAGGTCTTTCTTCAGCTGGAGGTAGGTATCGTCAGCCTACAAACAAAGCATGGACAGAAAAAAGCCAGGTATGAACACCAAGAGTTTCCATAACTTGGGGCTTCATGTGTGAATCTTACATGGCACAGCTTTAGGAACAACAGCAGACCAACACATCCTGGAGCCACGGAGGAAGCACAAATGTTTCAGTGCAGCTCAGAGCCCTCTTTCAGCATGGTGGATCTTGCAGGCACTGTGCAGAAAGCCAGAAAGCCAGCTTGTTCCCCCATTAGCTGAGGGTGGGGGTAGTTTGGTGGGGAGGAATAAGGAGTACACAGGCCATCCTAGGGCTTGGACAGCAGTGTAGCTGAGGCCAATGGTGAGCTATGAGACAGAACTGGAGAGATGCAGCTGGAAGAGGACATGCTGCACCCGAGCTAGGGTCCCGTCAATCACCAATGCTCCAATTCCTGGCATCCAGTCTCTGGACTGGATCACTCCATATGCATGAAGCAAAATGACCCCCTGACTGGTGTGAAAGGGGCAGAGAGATGACCTGGTGATGCAGGGAGGCCCTGATATAACCTTCGGTTCCAGACTGATAAGCACCAGCAGCTCTGGAAGTTTCCTGGAAGTTTTGGCTCCCTTTGCTCAGCATAGAGATAATGTGGCCACATCAGGAGCTGACAGAGTAAGTTCCAGAGTCAGACCTCTCTGTTTGCCTTGTCTCTGACAGTCTGCCTAGTTTTTCAATAGAATTACGGAATAGTGAAAATAAGAAGACTGATTTCCTAGAACTTGTGCTTCTTATGTAACAGATCACAGAAGTTAAATGAGGCAGAAGGATTATAAAGGCTTAAGAAAAGTGGTCCAGGCACTCCTTTCTCAGCAGACTAAGGGGCTTTCCAGCATGGTAAGGCAAGCCAGGGTCAGGGAAGGTAGTAACTGTTCACAGCTCTGATGTGAAACGGACAAGCCAAGACATTCAGGCAGTACTTTTTAGGCATGAGAAGGCCTGAAGGACGATTATCAGAGACACTAGTGTCTTTCAGATCTTATTTCTGTCCTTAAACTGTCCCCTTATTCATCCCTACTTCCCTAATCAGCCTAGTCCCTAGCTACCTTCCACAGCAATATGAAGGACAGAGCAGAGGAACATTATTAAAAATCACCCAAAGTCACAACTTAGGGGTTTTGCACATGTTCCATTACATTCATTTTTCTTAATACATTTCCTGAATCCCTCAGATCTCACTAAAGCTGGGCAGGTAAAGAAGGTGACAGTCCTGTCACCCTCTTCATCTGTCCTGGAGGGTCCAGTCTCATGTGGACCAGCATCTTCTTTAAGCTGCTCAAGATGCTCGGGAGAGGGTAATTCCATGGCCACTCCTTGAGGAACTTGCTTGAGAACCCCTGTGTCCTGGCAAGTTGAGAACACTGTGCCATGCCAGACCTGGATCTGGGCTCAGCCTGCATGCCACTGGCTGGTGGATCCTAAGCAAGGGACTTTCCCTTGGGTACCACTGCTTCGTGTGTGGTCATGACTCCTGTCCTACCTAACCTCTCCCAGATTACTGTGAGCTTCACCAGGATAAGGAATGTGAGGAAGCTCTATCAATCGGCAGAGCACTGTCCAGATGAGAGGACACTATGCCTTCTCTCCAGGCTAACACCAATGACACATGCCCTTCAGCATCCCACAGTGCCCAGGGTGGCAACAACGGTGACAGCCGGAACAGCCTTTAGCCATGACCACATACCAGCCTGGCAGTCACTACGCACAGCCAGAGAAGCCACAGCTCAGCTCCCCTGCACCCCATGCAGCCTCCTCCCCAGCTCAGGGGCATGGGCCCCACCGCCACTGCACAGTGTCTGGCAGTAGCATCAGAAGCAAACAGGCAGGAATGAGGGGAAGAGCCAGACAACAGATACAGACTAGTGCACGGGCATGAGGGAACACGGACTGGCATGTCACTCCCTTGTCCCCGGGCTGGCCACAGCTCTGAGAGAGCCCACCAGTGCTGACCTGGCAGGTGGGGACAGTCAGCTGGTGCTGCAGTAACTGGCCAATGGCGAAATTCCGCACACTGGCCAACCTGGCCTGGTGCTGCTGCAACCGGGTGAGAAGCAGGGAGAGCTCCTCCAGCTGCAGGTGTGCAGACATGTCATGAGGAATTAGCCACTGCAGGAGCATGGTGCTATGACTGCTCCTTGCCCCAGTACTGGGACAGTACTAATGCGACACCGTTAAGCAATTCTTGCATTAATCCTGTCATTAGGACAAATAAAGGCACTGACAGAAAAGGAGGTGCAATAGTTGTTTCATTTTTTAGGAAACAGCAATGAACGGTGTGCCCTCACCCAGGCTTAAGCTTTGAAGACAAAGCAAAGGCTGGGAAGAAAGGGAGGCGGCTGCAAAATGCTGCAGACAAAATGCTACCAAAAGAGGAGAGAAGCCCACATTGTCCTCTGCTTCCCCGACACTCTTCCTCTGACCTGGGGAGGACCCAGTGGCAGCGGGATGACACTGGACAAGTCATTTGACTTCTCTGAGCTTCAGTTTCCTCACCTCCTAAAACAGGGGTTTGATGGCTGCCCTGTGGACTGCGTTTGACTGGCTCTTTGGAGAAAACCCCAGGAGATGGCACTTTTGGGGCTGTATTGTATTCACCTGGAGGGGGACATAGGTGCTGCTTACCGATTTCCCATGTAAACTGGGAGCGCTGACAGTGTGGGTCATGTAGCCCATGGAGGGCATGGAGCGCCGGTCCACATGAGAGGAGTTCTGCAAGTGGAAGACAAGTAGTCACGCTGGGGACCAAGCCAGGAGGCCAGGCTGGGGCCAGAGCCTCCGCGACTCACTACCAGGGCAGCAACCATATGGCACCTCTCTGAGCCTCAGACTCTCAATCTGTAAAATGGGGATACACATCTTCCTCACCAGGTCACAACAATGATAGACTATGCAGGCTCCTTGGAAAGGTAAAACTTAAGTTGGGTTATTATAAATAATTGACCTGACTGAACATGGGTATCTTTTCCTGACTTCCAAGCTGCAAGGAGACAGACTTCTAGTTGTGTGATCCTTCATCCCATAATGCCTCCAAGTTTTCATTTGTGAAATGGTCCTGACAATAGCTCCTACCTCATAAAGCTGCTGTAAGAATTAAAGCCTTTGATACTGCAACCGGCACCTGAAAGTACTGTGTAAACGTTACCTCTATCATTATTCCAAAAGGCTCAAATCTGTGTTCAAACTATGTGAGGCTCCCGGTGCCCTAATGTTGGACCCCTGCAGCCTAGCAGAGCCCCCGGAGTCTCACCTTGGTGGCATGGCCTCGCGCCTTCCTGGGAGAACCCCCCAGTGAGATGTCCACGCTCCTCCTCTGGTCGGGTGGCTTCACAGTGACCCTCTCTGCAGGAGTGTGTGGCCGCCGGGGAGGGAAGACCCTCGGGAGAGCCGGGGGAGGAATGTCTGAGGGAGACGGAGGCACCGAGATGGAGCGGGGCACCTCTAGCATGCTCCTGCTCCGGCCCTGGTCAGTGAACTCCGGCGAGCCGGCACAGATGGGTGCCGTGGGGCTGCCGTGCCGGAACTGCTGGCGCTGCTGCCACTCGTAGAGCTGCCACACGGTGCCATCCCGGTGCGCCCGGCGCTCCTCACTTGACATCTTCAGGTGGCTGGCTCGGTCTTGTGCATACTTGTAGTCACTCGGCAGGTTGCGGGGAGGGGGTGAGCCCCCTGAAGGGTGCCGGGTGCCCTTGGGAAGAGTCTGGTAGTTCTCTGTGAAGGACAGGGACTGGCTAGGACCCTGGCGAGGAAGGGTCTGGTCCAGGGGCAGGCTGAGGAGAGAGAAGGACAGGTAAGACAACCAGCAAGGGGTCTGCCAGGCTTTGGAAACACAGCTGAGTAAATCCACAAAGCTAGGCACGTGAGGGGGCCTGTAAGAACCCCAAAAAACCATCAGTGCCGACACCCAGAACTTCAGCAGTTGCTCCCTTTGCAGAGAGTTCCAAAACCATTTTTCTCTGTCAACCTTGGAGTGTCAAACCCCCTCCCAGGCTGCCCCATGTCCCATCACTTCATGTGCAATGGGATTGAACCCCTTGACCTCTCTGGCTGCCGTCAGCTGCGCCTCACAGCTCTCGGCCCCCAAGATGTTCCCTCTGGCAGGTATCCTAGCACCAAGTCTGCAGGTGCTTAAAGGAAATGGCTGCCACCAGTTCTCTTCTTTTCCTACTACTCTATCACTATCCCCAGAGGTAAACAGATAATTATTACCTCCCCCCAGACAACTGAGATCTTCCCAACTAGTTTCCACCCTGTACACAGTCAGCTGCTTGACTCTGATCACTCCCTTGCTCCAACAACTTCAGTGGCTGCCCACTAGCTATGAGATAAAACCTATCCCCCCTCAGCCTGGAACTCAACCCTCTAGCACCCGCCCTCAACCCACACTGCGGTTCTGCTGTTTTTTCGCTGCTTCTCCTACTGGGCCCAGGACTAGGCTGGGGCAGTCAGGTGCCTCGGCCCACCACTTAAGGAGGCACCACCCCCCTCATGTGCACCCCTGCACTTGATGCAGCCTGAGAATGACAGCCACCTCCTGCACACCTGGGCAGCAACTTGCAGTGGAAAAACCTAACCCAGGTAGTCAGACCTGAGTTAGAAGCCCAGCTCTATCACCCACTGGTGATGTGACCCAAGGGAGCTTACCTGACTACTCTGAGTCCCAGTTTCCTTACCTGTAACATCAGGACAGAATTACCTACCTCACAAGGCTTTTATGAAGAAAGAATGAGACAAGGAAGAGAATACAGGCTTCATGTCTGATACACAGAAGGAACTTAAGTGGGTTCTCCCTTCCCAACTCTCCTTATTCTTACAATTGTTTTTTCTCCCCTATCTGTATAAACTCACCTTGTCCTATTCACCCAAGTCTCACTCATTCTCCAGGACACTGTCCTATGCCTCTTCCACAGAGGCCTTCTGCAATGCCACAGGCCTCGGGGCTCCCACTTTGCTCTGACCTATTTATTGCACAGTCTATGACTTTTTCAAGGTCCTGCATTGATGTGACCTTTACATCCTTGCAAGAAATTGCTTCCCTAGCCAAGCTGTAAATCCTTGTAGGGGCAGGAACTGTGCCTCACATTCCGTGATATCATCCACAGTCTGAGAACACCCTGACACTTAACCAGCCTTCAACAAATACCCCAGCACATAAACGCTAGATACGATTGTGAAACTCCACTAATGAGCCATCTTATTTTCTGAGAAGGAAGAAAAATTCGGCAAGGGGCCAAGTAAGGAGTTTTGTTAAGTCTTTAATGTCTAAGCTGAGAAGCAGCATGATGTTTTGAGAAGAGAACAAGTTTTAGAGTCAGGCCTTGGGTTGGAATTCTAACTCTGCCTTTATCTATTAGTTTTATCTAACAAAGTTCTATATGGCCCCTACCACATGCCAGACATTGGTCTAAGCCAGAGTCATTCAGAGTGTGGTCCGTGGACCCACAGTGTTAGCATCACCTGGGATCTTGTTAGACATGTGGATAATCAGGCCTCAGCCCAGTTCTGCCAATCAAATACCCTACAGGTGTGCCCCAGACACCTGTGTTTTAACAAGCCCTCCAAGTGGCTAAAGTTTGAGCAGTGTCGCTCTAATGGTTTTTAAACTTGTCTTATTTAATCACTCTCTGGCTATATGACCTGTCTTATTTAATCACTCTGGCTATATGACCTCAGGTAAGGGTCTTTTTATTCTCACTCCCCTTATGCTAAAATGGGGATACTAAGAACCACTTAATAGCTTGTTGAGAATTAGAAGTAGTTGTCATTAAAAAAATGATAGCTTTCTTCTCCCCTTTTATCATTATCTTTGCAATTACAGCAAAGGTAATTTTAAGATCTCTTCAGCCCAAACTTGTATAGTGTGGTGGTCTAGTGTGTCCGCTTGCCACTAGGTGGCAGGTTTTGCCATTGATTTCCCAAAGTCGGAGGGAAATGTTTGTCTGGAGGGGCAGTGCCTGAATCACCAAAGCACAGTGGTGGCAATGGGAGGAACCAGGTTGGGAGGCTCCCCCTGAGGAGTTCAAAACTTCATCGTTTGCTCTGACCAAAACAAAATGCAAACTATGCAAAACATTTCCTAGCTCTGCTCCCACCGCATACCACTTTGGTCTGCTCTGATGGCCAATGTACGCTGTCCTGATGGCTGGAGTCCTGCCACCATGTCCTCTGCTCATCCTCTAGCCTACACCCTCTGCTCATGCACTGCCTGCCATCCACCCAGGGCTGGTCATTTGGGAGCGATCCCAAAGACTCCAGTGCAGTGGTGAATGAACCCTGGCCCCAGAGGCCACACCATGGTTTGGAAAGACACAGAAGGTCGGGTTGTAAAACGAGGTAAAGAGCCCCCTGACAGCAGGCACTAGCACCCAGAGCAGCTTTACCAGACATCAGATCCCTCTGCTGACCCCCATCTCTAGCCATACCCAAGAAGAAGGCTCAAAGTCTCCTGCCCTCATACCCTGCCCTGTGTCACGGGGCCTCCCTATTTCAAAAGACACCCAACAGGGTATTCCAATATAGCCACTACAAAATGGTCATACTGAACTGTAAAACCAATTTTTATGACCAACCAATGCCCTGTACAGTAGATATTCCTCACCCTACTCTCCACAGAAGTTGTGCAGGACTCGCTTTCTATTCTGTTCTTCACTGTAATGTTTGAGTCCAACTCCGCGCTCACCCCCTGACTTTTGATTTGACAAGTATGCATTACTTAAACAGCAAGAAAAAAGCCAGAAGGTGAGAATTTCAAACAATCTCTTAGGCCATGATAAGATTCTAAGGGTCTATCAATCTGTCGTGGCAAACCGCCGTTCTAAAGGAGCTCAGTGATGTGAAATATCTGTAAGTACTGAAAGAACAGTCAGAAATGAATTCCTTGTCTGGTCTAGAGCCATAAATAAGAGGTCACATTACCATTCAAATAACCCTCATTACAATGTCTCATGTGATCAATCTAATGAGATGAGCACAGTTTTAATCAAACCCAAAGCAGAGATAGCCCTCTCCTACCTTTTGAAATGGAGGAAGTTCCTTTACTAAGCAGATGGATCTACCTATTACTTGACTGTAAGAAATTGCAAATATATCTTTAAGGAAAATAAAAACAACTCTGGGAATGCAAGCAGCAGTCATTTCCAGGTTCAAGTGAATGATGAGACACTGAGCACTTTGTTTACTGGGAGGCTGACAGCCTTCTTAGTCTTTCGTTTCTCACTCTTACTTTCAGCCCACTAAGACTGGCTTCTACCACTGACTGAAATTCCTCTTGCTGTGTGCTCAATCATCTCCAAGGCCAAGGAACCATTTGCATCTACAGATTCAATGTCTCCCTTCCACTTAGGTTAAGAATAGCTCAAACTCCCATCTCACACCCTAGGGGAGGTCCAAACCCTTCCCAGCCCTGTCATCGCGCTGCAGTTGACTTCTTGTCCATTAGCTCTCTGATGTGCCCCACACCCCCAAATATACGCCATTGTGTGTAGCAGAATAACATAGGTCTGTGGGCTCCCAGAAAATAGTTATGTAGAGACAATTCACAGCCAACAATTTATAAGCTCCTCTCAGTCACAGAGCTGTTCAAAGTCCTTCCTGTACCCCTGCCACAAAGGGTTTCTCAGTGGCCAGGCCATCTTTCTGGTCTTTCTGGTTTCTTCCTGCCTTCTCCTCCTGTTACTCTGTCTCCTGACCTAACTGAAAATCCTACCTCCATAAAGGGCAATTCAGGTCTGCCCATCAAGAAGGTCATGGGAACGAAAGGCCTCAGAGACTGGGCAAAAACAGCAGAGACCTTGAAGTTCCAGACTCTCCTTCGGGAGTGGTGCCTTCCAGGGAGGCTTGGCGCCACCCCCAGGGAGAAGCCCTTTTTTGCAGTATCCCATGCTGCCAACTAAACCCTTTCCCAGTGAAACTCCCCTCATCACACCCCAGCTTCCCTCTCTCGTCTCCTGCCCGGCTCCGTCACGGAGACTGCTTCTGCCCACCCCTTGGGCTGGAGATCCTCAGGGTTCTCTTTGGCCCTCTGTCAGCTACCCTGGCTGCATCACGTTAGCAGGGTAGGGGGTGTTTTTAAAAGTCCTGACTTCTAGGCTGCAACTCAGATCAACAGAATCAGGTTTCTGGGCATGGGACCCAGGCCTTGGTAAATACCAAACCTCTCCAGGTGATTCATATACTGGTATTACCTGGAGAACTTTTAAAACACACTGATGCCTTGCCCTCACCCAGACCAATTAAATCAAAATCTCTGCAGTAGGGCCTCAGATGATCAGGCTGTGCAGCCAGGACTAAGAGCCCCTGTTCTAAGCATGCCACCTGCGTGATGTACTGTCAGAGGAGCAGTTCCGTCTCCAGGGCAGTGCCTCCCAAATCCTTCCCTAACCTGAACTTGCCCTCCCTATAATGGTCATCCCCACCTGGCCGCTCCACAGGCACACATTCCTCTTCAGGCTCACTTCTCTCTCCCCCACTCACACCTTGTGCACAGCTCCACAGCTACGGGCTCACCAAGCCAAACCTGAATGCTAACCTCACCTCCACCTGTGGTCCCCACCACCTTCCCGGCCAAGATAAATCAGTTTCCTCAGTCCTATACCCACCCAAGCTCAACACCTGTGTGTCCGCCCCCCTCCTCACGATCCCCACCATCCTCACTGCTTTTATGTTGCTCTTCCTCACCGCCTGCCTGAGCCATGACCACCTATATTGATCACTTTCTCTTTCCAGGCTCTTCTCCATCTACACCATCTTCCACACTGTCACCAGAGCAAGGACTTAACCTAAAACAGCAGTTCTCAGGGCTGATACTGGGGTGGGAAAACATGGACACTTCTGGTAGGGTATAAACCGAAATAGCTCTAGAGGACAATTTTGTAATATCTGTAATTTAAATTGTATATATCCTTTGACCCAGTCACTCCACTTCAAGCAGTTTATCCTTCAACACACTTGCACTTGGATAGAAAGACAGTGGGGAAAGGGTATTCGCTGCCGCATAGTTTGTGACAGCAAACGTGTGTAACCAACCTACCCATCCATCAGTAAACAATGGCATAAACATCAACACAGATCCACAAAACAGAGTACTCCACTCCCTTTCAAATGAAAAATGTATGTCTATGTGTGTTGACACAGAAAGTCAGCCAAGACACATTAAAATGTCTATATGTAGGCTTAATGATATATATTGATATGTTGATATGTTAAGAAAAAAGAACAAGATGAAGAACAGGATTTCTTTCTTTTTAACAGTGATTGGTCTTTAGAGAATAAGGCTAGGTTTCTAAAATAAAATAGGAAGACACTTATTCTTCAGTATTTACCCCTTGGTATTGTTTGGATGTTTTACCTTGTGAGTGGATCACTGATTAGTTGAGGGTACTGAGCAAAGGGAGATTTACACACCCAGCCAGGAACTCCATGATAAATTAGTAATTGGTACAGATAAAACCGAGCAAACTATAAGCAAGAAAATTAACAACACCAGAAAACAAAAATTGCACGACAAATGAAATTTAGTTATAGTATACTATATGGACCAGATATAAATATTTATTTTGCCATAATCATGTAAAAACTGATGAGTGATCTAAACAAAAATTAAGCTATAATTATATTTGAAGCTGGGATCAAGGTAAGTGTATGTCTGCTGGAAACATAAAGGGGGAGTAAGAGACTGAAGTCCTTATCTTTTACAGCAGAATGTCAATAGCTTACTCAAACTGAAAAATCAAGAAAGAGCAGTGTTAGGTATCTTATTTGGAAATAGAGAGGTAAATGGGGGAAACTACTAAATAATTAAAAAGTGGTTGCCTCAAAGGGCCAGGAATCAGAAGTAGGGATGGGAAGGAGGGTCAGACTATTTAAATCCTTGATCTATGTACATATATTACTTAAATAAAAGATTTTTTTAAATAAGGGGTAACGAAAACTGCCATTCTCATTCTGGGTGGATGCACCAGAATCACCCAGGAAATTTCTTCACCCTGCACATGGGCCTGTTATACTAGAACTAGGATGTGGTGAGGTGGCCTGAAAAACCTCCCCAGGTCACTCTGATGCCTCTTCCCAGCCAGGACTCTTCAGACCACCATCCTAACAGACAGGACCATGCCAGGCTCCTGCTTAAAGTCCATCAATGGCTTTCATGGCCCTTCAAGATTAAATCCAAACTCCATAGCAAGAAATACAGGCTCACCAGGGCCAAACCCTTGCCCTTCCTACCTGCCCCTATTTCTGGTGTCGCTGCTTTACCTTTCCTCACCAGCCCCTACGGACTTCAGTTCCTAAGAGCTGTTACACATACGAGGGAACACCTGACTTATCATGAGTAACCTCTCTGACCACATTGTCTCCTCCACCAGATCCCCCTTCCACTCACTTCTAAGTGTTGGGGTACCAATTATGTGCTGTTTGCTCCCAATTAGTATGTCCGGCCCTGACCTCAGCACTACAGTCCATATCCAAGTAGCCCACATGACATCGCCCCTTGGACAGCTCATAGGCTTCTCAAACCTGTGTGTCCATAATGGAAACCCTGATTTCTCCCCAGACTTTTTCCCCACCTCATTAGTCACCCAGTTGTTCAAGTAAAAATTCTAGGATCATCTTTGTTCCTTCCTTTCTCTCATCTTACCCACCTAATTATTCACTGATGAGCTTTGCTGTTTAAACCTCCAAAATGTATCTCAGCTCTATTTCTTTCTATTTCCACTGTCACCATCCTGGACTGCTGCAACAGCCTTTCCCTAGGCAATTCTTTGTGAATTATTTATTCATCAGATCACATTGATTACCTGCTTAAAACCCTCCAGGGCTCCCCTATTGCTTTGTCAAATAAAATCCAATTCCTTACCTTGCGGACCTGCATGATACACTACTGCCAGCTCTGCAATCTCACCCAGCATTAAGGTCACTTAAGACCCACCTCCCAAGGGGGCTACCCAGCACCCACCAAGAACAGAAGCTTCCCTCTCGTACCCTTGTGCAGGAGCTGTTTTCCATAAGATACAACATTTGAACAAACAGAATTGAGACCTGGCCAGGGCCAGGTGGGCATGGGGAGGTATCTTAGCTGCAACCCAGAAGGCCTTCTTTCTCCTAGTCTGTCCTACAACAATGTGTACCAATTGCTTAGGGGTTTCCATTGTGATTTCTCTATCATCTACCTTCACAACTGCCTACCTGGACCAGATGCAACCCCCCCCCCACACCTGTCCCTAAGAGGCCTGGGTCATTCCCATAGAAGCACTACTGCCTCCAGAGACCACAGGTAAAAAGCCTGGGCCTCACCGACAGAGAGAAGGACATGTTTATCAGTCCTGCAGCAGACGCAACCTGAGCTCTGGTACATCTGCCACAGCCCCTCCAGCCTCTGGGGAGCTTTCTGAATGCACCCTGGCTTTGCTATCTCCTGTCCAGTCACTGGTTGGTCTTAGAAGCCTGAGGATGGTCACAGGGATTTGCTGTCTTCCCAAGGAAGATAAACCACAGTGGCTACTGGGAACAGTGGGGAAGCTGGATGACCCTGAATTCTTCATGGTCACAAATGTGTCCTAATTAAACTAAAATTATAATAAAATACAGACACAGCTTTGCAAATAGCAAGAGATGCATGCTCTCTAAATAATTAAAAACCACTCCTTAAAGGAATGGGTATGATAAAGTCTAATGTCAACAGCGTCTAACTAAGCTCTTCTTTATGTGCCTGGAATTCAAAATGAATCGGTATTTACTCTAGTTTCTACAAATATTCCCCCGATGCAGAGAAGTAGCGAAGTAGGAGAAGACTTGTTTCTATCTGCACGCTGCGTGTCTCAAGGCACACTCTCTGGGGGACAGAAGCGTCTTGATGTCATTGCATCTGGGCTTGGGAGGCTCTCACAGACCTGGAAATGAACTCTGGCCACTTATCCTTGTACCCTGGGCAGATTCCTTCACTTCTCTGTGCCCCAGTTTCTTCATTTATACATTAGGGAGATCACCCCTCCCTGCAGGGTTGTTACAGGGATTTATGAGATAATGGAGATAGAGAGGCTGAGGCCGGCACTTACTCAGCACATGCTCGGTAAATGATAGCCTCTGTCACTACGTTACCATGCTCATGAGTAGCAGCAATCCTGAGTCTATTACTGACCTCCTGCCGTCCCCCTTCTGGGCTTTGGCCCACTGCTCCACCTGGGCCAGGCTGCTCTTCCTCTGGCTGTGCTTTTCAGTGTTGGTCCTGGGAGGAAAGGCCCGTTGGTACCCGCCAGTCCCATTCTGCTCTCCTGGGCCATACGGAATGGGCAGTGTGCCATTCTTCTCTGCCCGCTGGGGCTGTGCCTGCTGGCCTCTCACTCCACCGGGTAAATCCACAAATGGGGCATCCTCTTCGGCTGGTGAATATGGGGACCTGGCCTTGCTCCGGTCCCACTTGCCCTCCAGTGGGTCCCTCTGGGGATGGTGCCGTTCTTCCTCTTGCTCCTGCCTCTCAAAGCCAAAGGAGTCCTCATGGCCACAATGAGGACAGTCCCGCATGTGTCCAGGTCCCACACGGCCACATTCCTGACAGAACTCTGCGTGGTTGGCCTGAGGGACAGCCTGCCGCTCCACCTTCTCCACGTCCCTGCAACGACAGCAGCACCTTTAGCCAGGTCCAGAAGCATGGCTGGCAGCCAAGACTCCCCAAAGAACATGTGATACTCAAATCACCTCCAGGCCTTTGCATGGGCTGTTCCCTGTGCCGGGGACACCTTTCAGGCCCAGTCCCTCACTCTGCCTCCCTAACTTCTCCTCCTCTGGGAGCTGGCTTAAATGTCACCTGCTTCAGGAAGCCACCCCAGACAAACACCCCCAGTCTAAAGTAAACTGAGCTCCTTCAGCCAGAGCCCCAGTTGATCAGTCATCATATGCCCCAAACTTCTGTGCAATGACTGGAACAGAACAGGGGCTCCAAAAGCACTACTGGACAAATAAGGGATACATGCAACCTTCTCATTCTCTTCCCTTTTGCTATGTGTCCATCTGTCTGTCTGGGCCAGTCCAGCTCAGACAGAAGGCTCCTGAGCTCAGGGTCTCGCCCACTGGCATTTAGCACAGCCCTTAGCAGCATAATTAACATTCTTCCAAGATCGTGAGTAGAAAACAGGCAACCTCTATATGACCACTTACCTATCTTGTCAGGGAGCTGCTCAAACAGGAAGCCACAGGAACACTGACTTACCAAAAATTCTCCGAAGTATTATTACTCAGATTTTACAGATACAGAAACTGAGACCCAGAAGAGATAAATGATTTTCCCAAAATCATACTGATAAAAAAAAAAGAGTAGAGCCAGGGCTTCATCCCAGGCTGACTCCAGAGCCCACTGCTCTCTATTGCCTCTCCTTATGCACGTCCATGGCCTACATATATGCAAACGTGGAAATCGCAAAGGAGAATGGGGTGGGTGTGATAGGTCAGACTGTGAACCGAGGCAAGGAAAAGCTTCTGGGGCAGAGTAACACCCGTCTCTATAGCCCATCTCCCACTCTAAGCTGCCTTTCCCCCAACCTCCTTGGGGAAGATTCCTAGTTATGTCTGAATCCCATTACTTGGTTACCAGGGACACAGCAGAGTGGCTCCATAACCTTTGCAAATTTAGATCAGGAAGGCAGGGGAACACAATGCAGCCCAGCTCAGAACCACCAGCAGAACTGCTAGGGACCCTTGGGTGCAGCAGCCAGTCTACTCCCTGGTAAAAAGATCCTGGCCTTGAGATCCAGCAACCAGAGGGTTCTTCATTTCAACGTGAAAGCATATAATGGCAATGCTACTGCATCTACATTTCAGACGCTAGACCCCAGGTGTCCTTGCAACACCCTCAGGACCTGAGCTACCAATAATGAGCACAGATTCTGGGCAGATTCTGTCCAGTCTGGGAGCTAGTTAAAATGTCAGTATAAAGTGAATGTACAATCCTTAACACAGGACCTGTTCTTAGAGTGTGTAGGCCTGACTGCTGGCCTTAACTTAGGCATGGAGAACTGAGAAAAGCATTTGCAAACCTCACTGTCCATGTCTTTGGGAATTTTCCATGAAAATCCAAAGCTCTTGTTTCCTTGGACCTTTTATCCACACTAGCAACATCTGACCCCCACCTCATATCCCATCTTCTGGTAACAGCATTTCAATTTTCATGTGGGATCACCCTTCCCCACTCCCAGTCCACGTGGTTTGGTGCGGCTGCCTCTGCTAGCCCCTGCCCAGCAGCGGCTCCAGTCTCAGTGACTGGTTCGGGGGCTAACACACCGCCCAGTCCGGCCAATCAGAGCTAGGTCTGGGACTGTGCAATTGGACCTGGTCTTGGGCTGCTAGGATGATATGGGAAGCAGCTATTTGAGAATGAAGCCAACAACCAGGAAAGCAGATGGAAACACAGTCCTGAAGACTCGGCCTGAGCTTCTAGATTTAGCCAGACCTGAACCTGATATATCCTTGGACTTTCTGCTTGTGCACTAATAAATTCTCTTCCTCACTTACACTAGTTTGAGCTTGACCTGTTACTTATAGTGGAAGGAGTTCTATTACATTATTTTATAGTGAAAATCTTAGATGATGATCTCTGAGGGTCCTTCCATTCTTAATGCTCAGCAGGTTTATAAGCTCTGATAGGAACATATGAGAAATATCCGGGGCCTACATATTAAGAAAGAGCAATTCCTACTGTAAGTTCATAAAGGGACAACTCTGTTTCATAATGTAACTCTGTTTTTCCCTTTCTTCCTTTAATCCCCCAAAACTACAACAATGTACCCCCAACTGGTAGACTTCAAGTTGCTTAAGTTGGCTTTTATCTTCTCTACTGTATCTCAAAGTCAGAAAACCACCTGAGGGATGTGCTAAGGCTGCTCCCTAGAAGATCAAAGCTCTGGCTGACCTCTGGGTCACACCGAAGCCAAAGTCAAAGAAGTTTCATAACGTGGTTACTCCAATTTTGAGGCCTAAGTAACTGGACCTCCTTGTTAGTCCCATCCCAAAGATAAACAGCACCTCGTCATAAAAGCCAGGCAGTGAAACAAATACGCCACCTGTATGTATGATGTTAGAACCTATGGGAACGGTGGGTTTGTACAATGCCAGGACCCAAGGATTGTGTGTGAAACGCCTCAGCCGGACCAACTGTAATGGGGACTTTTCTTTCTTTACCAACCAATGTTCATGTATTTACTGAGCATCTATATAGTCCCACTAGGTTGGGCACTCAGGGGTATAAGAAAATAGTAGAGAATTAGCCTCTACTATCAAAGCAGATGACTGTAAAACCCAGTTTAATCATGGTAACCATATTTAATAATCTTTCATAAACTGATGGAAAATCATGGAGTCCATCCATCTTTTCTAGCCTTGGAGCTAATTTATAATTATAAATCTTAGTCCTTAGTGTGTGTGTATCTATGAGTGGACTACACCACCACGCAGGCCACTACTTTCTGAAAATAAAGAGAATGATAAACACTTTTCTCAGATTAACACTAGCATTCGCTACAAAACAAACCTTTAGAGGGTGACTAAAAGAATGGTAGTCCTCCATTCTTTTGGCAGTCTTGCCATCCAGCAGCTATCTAGACCCTAAGATTTGGGGTTATGAACAGCTCCTATTCCCATGGCTGCTGGGACTGACATAAGACACCTTTATGCCCAAAATGTTCCAGCTATGGCTGCAGGTAATACAGGGGAAGGTAATGTTCCCTACTCCCCCAGAGTACCTGACTTAAACCTTTAACTTACTATGTTATGGGATTTAAGGTAAAAATGGCTTTGGTGGTTTTTTTTGGCTTTCCCCTGTCTCCCTGCATTCCCAACAACCCAACAATTTTAACACATGACTTCTCCAATCAGGAGACCTGTCATAAAATAGATTTGCAATGCTCGATTTAGCACAATGGTGGGTAAGAATGAAGCACCCCTCAGCTGTCAATGGCTGCATCATTCAGAGAAATTGGCCATGAAGAGCACAAGCATTTAGTGAACATGACACAATCTTTTCCCATGCAGGTCATCACTATCATCATGAGCACCCAGAATCAGTCAGTGACTGTTTAGAAGGGCAGGGAGTTCCTGAGCTTCAGTGACCAATTCGGCATACTTCTTGAGCATGACAAACCCAGAGAGCACAAGGTTAAAGTCAGTCAGACCTAGCTTCAAAAGATGGCTCCACCCCATACAAGCTGGGTGACCTTGGGCAAATCCCTGACCTATTTTGTTTCCAGTTCCTCCTCTGCAAAATGGGGACAATAGTGCCTGTCTCCTTGGGTGCTTGTGAGGATTAAAGGGACAGCACACAGAAAGAGCACAGCACAGTGTCTGGCACCCAGCATGCCCTCAAATACAAATGTGCTGACTATCCAGTATCTATGCTCTCCTTCCTTCCCCCAATTTTTTCAAAGCAGCAATGTAGCCAGCAAAAAACGTACATTTCCGAACTTCCCTTGGAGCTGAAGGTGATCATGTGACAAATCTGATTGGATCTGGCCAATACGATATACACAGAAATTGCTGGGTGAGTCTTCCAGGAAAGTCTTTAAAAGAGGACAGGCTTAGCTGGCTTGGCTAACTCTTCCCTTCTTCCTGCCTGGAGTTTAGACTCTATGCTGTACTATAAGGTGACAGAAATGAGGATGAAAACCACCTGCTAAAACGTGGGTAGAAAGACAGAAGAGCCCTGACCCCTGATGGCATCATGGAGCTACTTTATCAATCTGGACTACTACCAATCTGGAGACCTGTTCTCTGAGAAAACAAAAACCCAATTTGCTTATGCCACTCTAAGTTGGGTTGTTCTATTACTAGCAACCAAACACAATCTATAACTGATAGATGGGGCTAAACTCATTAGCAGGGGTCAGGCCACTATGTTTTAGTATATCACAGCAAGGCTATGTCTGCTTAGAACACATTGTTGCTTGCCCTGCAAGTGGAAAGCAAAGCACAAGATACTTCTTCTCTCTCATTCCTTTTCTTCACACAAACTTAGAAGGTACTGATCATACCAAGCAACTATGCACTGAGTATTTTTCCTGCCTCCAAATCCTGTATTTCACTAGAAAATAAGGAATATTTCCCTCTACCTTAATGCTAACTACATGTACACACCCCACACTTAAACCTCATCCCAAGTTTCAGGCAGGAAGAGGAATAACAGCTTACAGGGGGGTTAGTGGTCCTACTGACAGACATAGCCCTTCTGTCACAACCCCACTGGGGGATTCCACCCTACTCCCAAATAACCAAATCAGGAGCCCAAGAATGAGGCTAGGCCACTGCTGTCCTTGGACAGTTTGATCTGGGCCAGGCAGGTGGCAAAAGTCCTGCCCTGGGAAACCATCTCAGCCTCTGTTGATAGATGCTGAGTCCTGAGCATTGGCCCATCCCAAACAGAACCCACCCAGGCACAGTCCACAGACTTGTATAAAAGGCTGAAGAGAAAGGGGTCCACAGCATCTCGGGAGACCTAAGGCAGGCTTGCTCACTTGACTTAGGAAGGGAAAGGCTGGAGAGAAATGGAGACAGGAGGCCACTGCTTCTTTTTCCCCAGAGTTAAACAGGACAGTCCCCCTGGGTGGGGGAAGCTAGCCGGCTAGCTTT